GTGTGTGTGAGTTGTTGCTTTCAAAATGGAAATGCACTCATTGACTCAACAATCTTATTGTTTTTGTTTTTGTTTTTTTTTTTTTTCCTTCTCTTTTTGAAAACCATCTACAGCCCTTGAATTCTTTTTCAACTCGGTTGACCACACACAGATAGTACTTGCAGCCGTGTAATTGCTCAAACACCGCCAAGTCACAGACATAATCAAGAAACGGAAGAAAATTGTGCGTCAAATTATACAAAGATTTACATCGTTCAATGTATAACGCACTCAAAAAGATTTTAATTATCAACCCCTAACCTTTGGTTTCTTTCGATCTCTATTTCATTTTTCATTGTTATCTTTTACTCATGTTGCAAACTCTACTACCTTGTATATCCGATTAAAATCAACGTGACCTGATCAACAAAAACAAAATTTAGACCACAACTTCACATCGACAATATGTCTGTTACTTTGATCTGCTCGGCTCCTTATCTTGCTAAACCATGCAAAGTTGAAATTGATAACTTATGATGGATCAGTGCCTTTATACGCTTAAATTACAAATAACCAGAATCCTTTTAGCCTCTGTTGCTGAGGAGGAGCCTAGCTTATGTGTATGATGACCTTTTTTATTAGGATAAAACAACACATATACTTCCATTTTAGGGTCTTAATGCTAGTCACATAAAACATGAGCTAGAGCGAACGAGAGTGAATTCGAAAGTGAGAGTGCGAAAACGGTAAAATTAAGTCACAAATAGTGAAATTGAGAACGAAAACGTGCGCAAAACGTGAGAATAACACCCATTAAAAATTGTGTGACTTAAATATTAAGCACAATTATATTACGAAAATTTCTTTATTTTTAAGATGACAGCAGGAAGTACACAAAATTTTACATATCTATATAGAATTTATTGAATATGTAAACACATATATTGCTTCTAGGTACCCTTTCTTTGCTCTAAAACATGCAACAGAGACAAAGAAGAACAAGTGAAATTATTATGTGATTTCGTCCTATTACAGAATGTTATACAACTAAGTGTGTCAGCTTTATTCAAAATGTTGTATGACACATGGTTCCCATATCGACCAGTTCATAATTCTTTTTTAAGGGTCTAATATTATTACATACTTCCATAAATCGGCCGATTTGACCGATTTACAACAATATTTACTAGAATTCGTTACACCGCAATTGCCACTGAAAACCATGGTATGACATCTCGTAATTAGCAGGGACTTATTATCCCAAACTATCCAATAATTTTCGAAATCGATAGCCATTTGCTTAAAACTAGAAACAATATTTCCGGTTCTTGTGTTCGGAAGTAAATCTGTGTATATCTCGTGCACCAAGTTTGTTCCATAATTTTTTTCCGATCCTTGTATAATCGGGCACATACCTAAATTCTTGAATAAACGGGGAAAGAGCAAAAAATACAGAATAAGAAACAGGACTTCTGTCGCTTAGAAGAGCAGATCTCAAACAATTTGGACAATCCACCAAGAAGCACCTTTATGCCCCATAGTAATATAAGCACAGTTGCCAACAGATTGTGTGCGCTGCACTAATACAAGCCCGTTAGTGTTAGCCCACTAGCCCACTAAAATGGGCCCAGCTGATGTTGACAAGTATGAGCTGTGGTGTCATGTCAAGAGATATGGGTAACAATTTGGTTTCATTACGTAGGATCCTCCACCACAACGCCAATTTACATATTGCCCTTGTCATCCCACTAGCTAGATTTATACTGAATTTTATGTAATTTCAAATCTTTTAAATTTACGTTTGGAAGTGCTAAATAAATATCTTGAAATAAAAAAAAAAATTAGTTTAATATTTTTGGATCAAAAAATATCTACAGTAATAGTCGTTATGAAAAATCAAGAAATTTCAACACAAATACTTTTAACTTGGTTATTCTTTTATTTTGAGTAAATTATACTTTTAACACGAATACTTATTGTATTATTTAAAGTGGAGTCCAGCACTAATCCAATTCCACCTCAGAACTCCAGGTGTAAAATCACATTTGCGGTGGTGATGACCGCCATAAATTTAAAACAAATGCTTCATTGCTGTTGGATGTCAAAGAAGACAAAATGGTCAAATGCTAAGGCTTTCGACCTAAAATATTTTGATATTTGGAAAGGTTTAAGTCAAATGCTAAGGCTTTCGACCTAAAATATTTTTTTGGGTAAAATATTTTTCTGTTTTTATTTTTTTGATATTTGAAAAGGTTTAAGTTGAAATTGAATTCATCCAACAAGATGTATAAAGTGAATTATTTTTATTTAATTTTAATATTTATTTATTTTAAAATATTTACAACAATCAAACACCAATAAAACAATATATATATATATATATATTTCATCCAAACAAAACGAACTTCATCAGTCCACTGTTCAATCCTTTATATAGTACAGCGGGAAACCGAATTCTAAAACAATGGCGGGAAGTGATCTACAGAAGCAACTGCAAACCCTAATTCGCGATTTCTCCACCGAGAAATCAGCCAGCATAACGTTCATCGTTTTTCATTTGGTTGCTGGGATAAAATACTCCTCCTAATTATCTGTTTGCTTGGATCAGTTGAACGTTCAAAAAATTTTTCCCTAAATTTTAAAATTCTTTTTCTTACTGTTTCTCTGTATCCAAACAGAGCTTTTATTAGCCTGATAAATGAATCTGAATTTGTGCTTTTGCGTGTGCAGAGACAGAATAGTCGTTCTCAAGAATCAAATCGAAGAACTTTGATCTGAAATAGATGCAGCGAATGTTGAACTCGAAGACGCCAAGAGACTCAAAGAAACTACTGAGCAAGAGCTATAAGGCTACGAAGTTGAATTGGCTAAGAATGAAGCTTCTATTCAAACCCTAGAGGTTATGTTCTGTCAAAATCATATGATTATTTCTCAAATGTCTTCATAATTCAAGAGCTCTTTCGATTGAAATTTCTTCAAAGTTTGGTAGTGAATTTCATTGAATTTCTTCACAATTTAATAGGCATTTGTGTTTGAATTAGTGTTTTTGTACTTCATACATATTGCTTTCATTTCGATTTATATCTCCTCCTTTTTGACCTTACTGTATATGAAACTACAATTGGATAGAGCAAAAGAGTTTCACGGTACATGTTTTTTCATTTATTTTTTTGGTTAATCAATTAATACGATTTCTTGAAGCACCAAATAGGGAAAATCATTTACTTTGCTAGACATCTTCTGTATTTTCTTGTCTTCATTACAAACATGATTTTATTTATTAAATGTTCTAGCTCAACGCCTCAACACTAAAGCAAAGCTGGTGTTGTCTACTCTGGATCATGGTTTCTTTTCCATTCTCTCCTTTTCATCGTCTTCATGTATATAATTGGATATACATACTAGATATCAAGAAGACTGACACTGCACTTTGACGAGATCGGTTTAAATCATGAATATATATATATATATATATCTATATTTGGATTCAATTTTACCTGTCTACTGTAGCCACTGCACTATTCAATTGCATCCAAATTTGAATACAATTCTGCCCTAATAATCCGATATCATGCTGCTACTCTTTTGGGAGTTGGTGCATTATTGTTCTTAAATTCGTAATGTATTATTCTATCATAAATGCCAGTTACTCAAGCATGCAAGCAATTAACTTAACTTATACTAGTCTGTCATGTCTCACACTTTTCATTAACAACAATCATATATTTCAACCCTTATTTCTCATCATTATCCTTTAAAAGTAACCTGAAAGGTCTAGATTGTCTGAAACTCCTGCAGCTCCTCCCGGACTTAATTTATCTTGAAAGGAAGATGTTCATGGTGGAGGAAGTCATGAAATAAAGCATAGACTTGCAGGACTTGAACACTTAAAAAAATGCAATTGATAGTGCCAATTAAATGACCACTGGACCAGCACAATACAAATAAGTGTTTTTTTCATCTAAAGAGGGAAGAAAGAAATTTTCTCGGGGGTAGACACGTTATCTTTTGATTTTATCTTTGTTTGCAGGACTTGAACACTGAAAAATGCTTCGATAGTACCAATTAAATGGCCACTGGACCAGCACAATACAAATAAGTCTTTTTCATCTAAAGAGGGAAGAAAGAAATTTTCTCGGGGGTGGACACGTTATCTTTTAATTTTATTTTTGTTTGCAGGACTTGAACACTTGAAAAATGCATTTGATAGTAACAATTAAATGGCCACTGGACCGGCACAATACAAATAAGTCTTTTTCATCTAAAGAGGGAAGAAAGAAATTTTCTCTGGGGTGGACACATTATCTTTTAATTTTATTGATAGTACCAATTAACCGGTGCAATAAAAATGAGTCTTTTTCATCTTAAGAGGGAAGACAGAATTTTTCTCTGGGGCGGATACGTTATCTTCTAATGAGTTACAATTTCTCTTCAGCTTCTGTAAAGACTAAAGATTAAGCTGAATAACTATTATTTAGTGAAACAGTTTTAACTCCATGTAACATTGCTTTAACATTAGGAATAATTGTGTCCTTGATTGAAATAAGCAGAGTTCAGAATTTGAGAAGAGGTGTGGTTCCCTTGGTAAGGAGTTGCCGAGGTGTTTCTGTGTCCTGGTTGTCATCTAAAAATTGTGGAGATTGTGGGTGAAATTCTTCAGACAAGCTATTGGAATCAACATTTTGTAAGTAGTGTACATGAGATCACTGCATTTTAAATGTCGATTTTCACAAATCATACAGTAAATGAGAACCTAAGTTTTGCAGATTTTTGGAACTTCTGTTCATGTCGTAACAGCTGCAATTGGCTTTACGAAGTGAAGGTGAAGCTGTCTTCTCGCTGAACAATATGAATGACCTCTTCTGCAAAAGGTGAGACAGAGTAGTTTGCGTTGTTTTGGATTAACCTTTTTTGCATCCCAATGTTTTCATATATGTCATTCAGTTAGCAGAAATTCATAGAATCCTCATGCTCGAACCCATGTTATACTTCACTTGAAGTAGCACTTTTCATACTATCAATTAAAAAATGTTAATTTCATTTGCTTTATTACCAACTTTACTTTCCCACTGTAATCTACATATGTCACTAAGTTGTAAGGAAAAATGGTATAGGGGTGGAAAACATAGAGAAGAGAAAGGAAGAAGATTGCGAAAAATATATACCACAAATCTAGCCTGCACCAATACAAGTGATATCATCGTCTATTCGATTAACTTTTGTTGCTTGTTCCTTGGCGATGCTTTTCTGTCCTTTACAATCAATGATAATAATGTAGATGTGGTCTCTTCATCAACCTTGTCCTGTTCCTGCCACAATATAATGGATTCATTTACTGTTCATTTAAACTTATTTGATAGGTCCCACATCATTAGTGTATCATAGGCACACATAGAATACATAGAGATCTTACAGTTTGATTTGGAGTTATGGTAGGAACAATCGGTTGGAGTGGAACAATCGGTTGGAGTGCGACAATTGTTTGATTGGTAGGCTTCAGGACTTCAATTTGTATGGCGAAAAGGGCAGAGACAGGCCTATGATCGGAGAACTTACTCTCACTACGGAAATAGGAAAGTTGCTTCACTCCTTTTCCGTACCACAGAATCCGGTCACACCTTCCACCATAAAAAATATTCATCAAATTCATTATCCTCATGAAGCTATAAAGAAATCAACAACAATATATGATATGTGTGTGTGTGTGTGTGTGTGTGTGTGAATCATTTTTACTAGCTTCTCAACTTCGGCCAGGCCTATTCTCATATGACCTATTATAGATCATTTAGGCCGTAAGACCAGTTCAAATGCTAAAGATATATGTAGAACTTGGCTTGAAGTTGGGCTACAATTGTGAGTATAAAAATGAAAGATCATTGTTGTGTATCTGTACCATGCTGGAGTTCTTTGTTTCTCTCCTGTTCTGCTATGAAGACCACCCGAATAGCGATTGCAATTCGTTGAAGAGTACTTGTAGGTCGGTGCAAATTCTATGTCTCCCTCTCTCCAGCCTTGGAATACCCCACCATCTTCTAGTTCCTTTCGGAGCTGATCAAACTCTTTCAGTGCTTTCCAGTTTTTCTGCTTTATCAGCTGCCTCGCTAAGTTGTCTTCCAAATATAACCTATAGTTGAGATCCCCGAACCAGAATATCTGACTGTTCTACAAATCAAGTACAATCGTTAAAGATGGAGTTTCGTCGTCAGACTTGCTGACATAGATTACTACATAATTCAATAAATATGTGGTCCATGGAAAAGTAATTCTACCACCAAGGACGAAGCCTAATATTATTTCCTCTTCCTCTCACACAAGGTAGGACTATAGGAGGCTGGTCACCGTTACTAATTCAATCTCATTTAGGTCTCAAGTTTTCCTTTCCTAATTGAGTAAATTAAATTTCCTGAAGTACCCTTTTCTCAGTGGCTCCATTAAAGAGAGAGAGAACAGAAATTTAATTCTTTGGTTCACAATATAAATAAAATTATAAATATGAAAGGACAACTTACTCATGTCCTAGGATGGTGAGGGGATGAGGATTAAAACCATCTCGAGGGTGTCGAGGGAAAGAAGTCCGCTTAAAAATCTCTGAAACTTGGTGATTTCTTCGCACCTCATCGCCTTTCTTCTCACCAGAAGCTAAGTGGGCAGCAATGAAGCAAAAACTAGTTCCTTCAATAGACATACTAACCGAAACTGAACCTTTGTTTCCCAAATAACCCATTATCCCACAAGCCACTGAACAAACTTTCACACTTGATACGCTGTACCTCCTGAGCAATTCCCTCTTCATCCACACGCTTATGAACACTCCAACCATCTTCTTACTTGCCATGAGCTTGTACGCACTGCTCCGACTTGGCTCTTCGTATTGAATGCTTGGCCTACCTCTCGCTGGAGTCGCAGCAGGTCCGCTGCTCATACTAAATCTTCTTTTAGGGTCAGCAGCTCCTACATAATGATAGTCATCACTTGTGATTGGATTTAACATGGGTGTTAACCAAGGGCACCCATATTTGTTGTTCAGAGTTTTCCCAATAAGCTGGTTCCAGTTTGTTGCCTCCGTCGGATCTTCTGCTCCGACGACATTTATAGGCTTCAAAGGGACAATCTCTTGAAATCTGCAAGGAGCAAAGTTTTTTCTGTTTAGTCTTAAATTCATCTAAAATAACATATTAGAAGCTTTTGACTGTCTCAATTTCGCTTACCCAAGAACATAAATGTCAGCAGCATCTTTAAGATTAAGCCACTCGTCTAAATCTACAGCCAAACTCCCAATGGGTGATCTTCCCGCGACATTCCAAGTACCCACAAATACTCTACAACACAGATATGATTGTTACACCCGAAAATAACACAATGCTCTGATTTTCTAGTTGTTTTTACAAAGTCCTGCCAAAACCACACCTTAGTTCATTGGTTAAAATGCATGGATCCATCTCCATGGACGGAAAGAAATGACCGTCCATGCTGTCATCACCGTCATCTTCACCCTCATCTGAGAGAGAGTATTTAAAAACTGAATAATTAAACCAAAAACAGGAGGCCATGGAAAAAGATGAAGAAAAATAGCGAAGTATAAGATTAATTGTTTAACCTGAAACTTCACTCAGTTGAAATGGATCAGCTTTCTTGTGCTTCCTCCTAAACCACCTCCGAAACCTCCTTGTTCTTGATTTTCTGTTCTCTTTATCCATAACTCAGAATAAATATATACCGTCCATGCCACAATTAGTAAAATGCCTCTTCCTGCAATTTCTCGAACTCCGCCTGTGTTTGTTTCTTTACACAGTCTGTTTCAAGCCCTGTTGAAGGAGGAGGGGTTGCGTTAGGTAGCTTCACAGTCAGCTTAAAATTGTCATGACCAATACGAACATGAATCTCCTATGTTGTTGTTGTCCTCCATTGATGAAACCTGTATATCTCAATTCACGGAAACATTAATGCTCTCAACAAACGTTTACTGATCAACATGGACTTTGCTGTAGGAGGTCATCGTATAAATCGCCTAGTACAAAGTGGGATGAGATTGTAAGGAAGAGACAATCACTAAGAAACCTGGAGAAATTACAGTTGAAACGATGATTCCAAGAGAAGGGGAGAGAGACAACCAGGAAAGGTCAAAGTTGGTTGGTATGTACCTTTGAGAAACTTTTATTCTTATATTTTCATGGTGGAATATTATCTCTAGTTTCGTAGAGAAAGAAACTAGAAAAGTTATGGACCATAAATGGTTCTATCATTGGCCTTTTGATTGGGGGTGCCGGTCACGTCTGTCTTGTGACCTTTTTTTTAACGTGATGGAGTTATTATATTTACCTAAGTCCACCAATCTACCAATCTAATGAACAAAAAGAGTAACATAAGGTGGACCACAAAAGTGACTCCCACATACAATACAACCTTCTCATTCTTTCATCTCCCCTCCCTCTCTCTCTATATAATATATAGACTATGTGTGTGTGTGTGTGTATATATATATAGATTAATAAACTTGCACGTGATCAAAATTTAAAAGTTAATTTATAATAAAAAAATTTATTATATAAAGAATTAATTAGTAACTTATTTTAAATAGTTGATATTTAATTTTTATAAAATCATTATAAATATATATTTATAAGAGTTTAGTTTTATTATTACTTTTTTATTAATAAATTTTATAAATAATAATAAAGTAAAATTAATAATAAAATAATTGTGATCTGAAACAAAAATAAACAATAATCAATAGAAATAATGCAGAAAATTAGAAGTGATTCAAAACAAAACAATAATCAAAAAGAAATAATATAGTTTTTCCATGTGTTGATAAAATTAATATGTGAAAAATTAATTATGATCCAAAAAAAAAAAAAAAAAAAAAAAAAAAAACATTAATCAAGCACAAATAAAATAGTTTTTATATGCGTGGACAACATTAATTGTACTTGCAGAAAAGAAACCAAATTTATCAAGTTGCTAATTAATTACCAAAACCAGATTGAAAAGAGATTAGAGAAAATAAAATTTTAAAGATAAAATTCAATTTACCAGGTTTCTAATCAATTAGTGAAAAAATCTCATAATAGAGAAAATGTTGCTAATCAATTATTTAAAAAAAATTGAAAACAGAGAAAATGAATTGAAAAAATTCATAACAGAAATCACAACTTTGTATGGACTAGAAAACGTGGCAAAAACTTAATTAAAAATCATAACTTTGCACTTACAATTTTTGATTCTTCTCTCACTAGATTCTTCTTTAACTGCAAAGTCTAGAAGCAAAACAATAACAACTCTAGAAATAAAATAGAAAAAATGAATTGAAAATAAGAGAAATAAAAAATCAAAAGATTCAAGTTATGTAAAAATATAAAATACCTTCATAATACTTTTGAAAAAATAAATCACAATGCAAACTAAATTAATTTACAAGATCAACCGTTGTTGTCACCAATCAAACATTAAACAAAAAATAAATAATAAAATACTTTCATGGTGCTTATGAGAAAATAAAAATAAAAACTAAGGAAGAAAAACATAATCCTAATGAACTTACCCGATAAAGTATGATTGCCTGGGAGAAAAATCTGAACACCAATTACAAAGAGAAAAGGAGCAAGGTAAAATACAGAAAAGAAAAAAATAACACTTTCATGATACTTTTGAAATAATAAAAAATAAATCAAACTAAATTTTAAAGGTCAACCATTTTTGTTACCAATCAAATTAAAGAAAAAAAATCATAATCGTATCTAACTTACCGGATCAAGTTAAATAATTACCTATTTTATTATTTATTTTTGGACGTTTAAGCAACTGACATATTAGTTTAAACAATTACCTATTCTATTTTAATTGGTAACTTGTTTTAATTGTTTTAGTTATGAAAAATCTCGAGGATAATAAGATTTATTTTAATTGGTAACTTTTAAGATTATTTAATTGGTAACTTGTTTTAGTTATTTTAGTCATGAATAATTCCAAGTATGATAAGATTTGTTTTAATTGGTACCTTGTTAGATTATAATATGATTTATTTTAATTGGTAACTTTTAATTAATAATTTATTTTATTATTTATTTAAAATTATTGACACCCTTTGTACTTTTAATAATAATGTGTGTATATATATATATATATATATATGAACTCCGATGATTTGCTGTGGTGTTTCAGTATCACGTTTTGTGTGTTTACATAACTTATGCAATAATTATAATATGTGGCTGTTGTATTATAGTTATGTGATATAGGGCGTGACACAGGATTAGAGGAAATCCAAATTCTACGTATGTGTCTGGAATATTTGGAGATGCCACTGGTGTTGGTGCACATCTGATTGAATAATCAGAAATGAATCTGATTTGATTGATTTAATTCATGTATTCATATGGAACACTTCACCATAAATTGATAAATTATTGATCTGTGTTTTGAGGTTATTAGCTGTACAAATCCAAGTCAATGGACTAAGTAGAGTTGATGCTGATGCTTGATGGACAATTTTCTGAATCTATCAATTAAAAGTGCCTTAAAGCGTCTTTGGCATCTCAACTTTTGGTATCTTGGGACCTAAATTTTATTTTCCCGGAAATTAAAGCAAAATCTTTGGACTTAAAAGTAAATGATTGAAACTTTAGGATTTTTCAGTCTTGGAAGCACTTGTCCTCGTCGGAGTCTAACAGACCTTGTAGATAATGTAGCTCAGTCATTAATGTTAAATGCCACGTGGTAATTATATATATATCAAAACTATGTAAAATTTCATCTTGTTAGGAAACAATGTTGGATTAGGTCTATTCGACAAGTTATTAAGATTTTGATTTAATGATTGATGGAGTGACTTTAGGATAATGATAAATAGTGTAATGACACTATCACTTGTACCATGTAATTATTTTTTTTCTCCAAAGTTGCTGCACTGTGATGCTTCAAATACCTATTAATATTGACCCGGTGCACTCCCCTATGAATAGGTGAATTACATTAATTATATGTGGATTTTTTTCTTTTTTTTTTTTGGGAAATTATTACTTATAAATAATAACTCATATTTATCATTTAATAGAGTCAAAGTCTCGTAGTTTTAAAAAAATAAAATTGATCAAGATGTGGACAAAAAAAAAACATTTTTCATTTATTAAAAGGTATCACTTTTAGGCACATAAATATTACTTTTTGTGCACGCATATACTATTTTTGTTTTGGGCATAGAAGTATAGTTTTATGCCTATAGGTACCACTTTTTGTACACATATATACCACTTTTTGTGCAGCACAAAAAGTTGTACCTAATGACAAAAAGTGGTATTTGAGTGCACAAAAAATGGTATTTATGTACCTAAAAGTGATACCTTTTGACAAATGAACAATGTTTTGTCAGCATTTTTGTAATTTCATTTTTTTGAAATTATGAGATTTTGACTCCATTAAGTGGTAAATATGGACCATTAACACAATTTATAGGTAATAAATTAATAATCCTTTTTTTCTTTTGCCCACCGTATTGTCTACTGTGTAGTCTGTATTTCACTTTTTAAATTCATTTTTAATAACTTTATTACAAGTTTTATGTGTTTTACCTTCTATAGAGATTAATGTTGTGTTTGTGTATGAATGAAATGAAATGTCCTTTCTAACCAAATACTAGAATGATCCATTTTCACTTACATTCCATTTTAATTCTGCACACCAAACACACGCCATAAACTTCTCACGGGTGTTGTGTAATGATTCAATTACTCAAATTTTTTAATATCAAATGTACGCAATCATATGTGTACGCAATCATCCCAATACATGCAAAATGTTTATTTTTCGTTTTAAACTCCTGAGAATGAAATAATTTTAGGGTAACGCCAGGGCCCTCCTATGTGATTTAAGATATATGTGGGACCGATGATGAGTATAAATGAGAGGGAAGATCATTGCATACTAGGACTTGTCATTGAACAATATAATTTTGAGTACATTAGAGACGTAAATTGTGAGAGAGGCCTCTCAAGATGGAAAGGATGGACAGGATAGAGTTGGATGAAAGTGGGGTCCATTGGTATTAAACACAAAATACAAAGTACAGATATTATTTACATCAAAAGGGACTCCACCAGCACAACATAATTAAAAGCCTGCCGTTTTCATGGGCTGCGACATTCTAACTAGTAGATGAGGGAGTAAACCATTATTTGTAGATATCTTTCAACCTCATTTCATTAATGCTATGCACGATCCCTCAACCACCTTCCTTTTGTCTACATTGTTACTGTTAAATCACCCCATTCATGACAGGCAACCTTCAATTTTTTAATCTAACACATTTTTTTTTTTTTTTTTTTTTTTTTGATTACCCAACATTTTTTACTTTTCTCATTTTAAAACAAAGAATTAGTCAATATTGATTACTTTTGTTTACATTATACATTGAAAAATAAGGTTGAAATCATCGGCAAGATCAATAGCACGATCACACCTAAATTTATCATCATTATTTTTAATTTTATCATCATCATTCTTAACTTAATTTCATGTGAATGAGGTCGGCTGTATAAATTCACTCGCAAATATTTCTTATTGCGTGTCATTTTTTTTCTCTAACGTATTTAACTTTATATGTTTTCAAACCATTTAAATATATTGAATAGAGATGCACTTACTTAAAAAGTTGGACACAGTCTCATTTATTCACCGAATGATATCGATGGATATCGAACCAGAGTTGGGCCATTTCTCAACGAACATGCCAACCTGGCTATCTTTTTAGTGGGCCAGAGTCTAAGAATTTCAATCATAATTCATGAATGGTGATCATGTTGGACCCCTACAGACTAGGTTAGGTCAACTATTAATACCATATGTTGACATCGCACCTGTTCCTATTCTTGCTCAATTTCTTATTTTTTTTTTTTGCATCTCACTACTCATTTGAATTCTTTTATATTGATTTTGTCAATCATCATTTCAGTAGTTGAGGTGCTAAATTTACTTTTTTTTGGCTAAATTTTATTTTGTGATTCATGAAATCCTTCTCTCCTAGTCTCTATTGGTTGTTTCATCATCATGATCATCTAAAATTTAAAGGACGTTGAGACTTATTATAAAAATAGGAGTGGGACATTTTTGTACCCCCCTAGGAATGTGACATCAATGTTTTATTTTTTTCATTTACATCTACTTTTATCTCAGTAATTCGTCTCAAAGATCTCAACGAGCTAAATTACTAAAATTCATATACATTAGAGATTTCATTTGTTTAATGATGGGCGCTCTGCTTAAATCTTAAAACTTAACCATTTTATGTAACAGAGAAAGTTAGATAGCATTATGGATAATTTTTTTAATTTGAGTACTTTGTTTTAATTATATATATATATATATATATATATATATATATATATATATTTTGTGGGAGGCAAAATGTAGAAAAGTTTTAAAATAAGTTGGTGGTCCAGCACATAAGAACACAGGTTGATTGGACCATTACCCAACAGCTTGTGGGGGACTATGAAATGGGGGTGTTTTCAAATAATTTTAGCAGGTCAAAAAGATTCAAATTGAAAAATGCTAGTATTAATTTCTCTTCCACATTGTTCCTCTTTTCAACTCGGCTTTTCAACAATGACTCAAATCAATATTTTCACTTTTTTGATGAAAAAAAAAAAATCATGATTTCCACCCTTAATTGCACATCCACTCAAATTGGTACATGTAGCAATGTATCATGTTCACCGACCCTCATTAATCGAATGATAGCTATGTTAAAGTTAAACTTGATGGAAGTCTTCTTTAATTTCTCGACGACGTAAGACTAAGCTCACAAACTTATTAATCTTAGGTCTGAACAAGTTCACGTAAACTTCATGTAAATCTATAGATATTAGATGAAGTTAAATGACAGCAACAATTTAGAATATGGACAACTTTTTTCATTTGTCTACTTTATTTTAACTTTGAATAATGATAGAGACACCAAAGCATTAATCCCGAATTTACACCGAATCTTACATGGTATTGGTCACGTCATCCACTTAAACAGCTTTCCAAAAAATATAAAATTATTCAACAAATGACAAGTAAGTCTTCCATATTTACTCTAATCTTTATTTTATACAAGTTCTCAGATTATCTTCACTTATTCTCTCTCTAAATATTTTATCCCTCTCAAATTATCTTCGTTTTCTCTTTCTCGGATTTGGGTTCTGTATTTCTCTTCTTCACTGGCTCTCTGCAATCACTCTGGATTCTAAAAGTAGATGAAATCTCTTAATTTACCATCTCTTTCCCTATGTGAATATAAATGTATCATCTCTGTCTCTTTGTTCTTCTCACCACCACCGCCACCATCCCTTTATTTCACATCTCATATTTCTCCCTAAAATACCCAAATTTGACCTGTAACCATCATCATCTCTCTTCAATATTCCTTGAAGAGGTCTCTTGCATCTGTCTTCCACATATAAACCCTAATCTCTAAACTTCATCAAAATGGGTCAATTTGTCATGGTGGCTTATTAATTTGATCTTCTTCGAAAACATAAGACAACAGAAAAAGAATAAAATTATGAAAAATTTACAAGTCAAGAAACAAGACAATAGAAAAAGAATGAATAGATGAAAAGATTTACAGGTACAATAGGATTTTATGAATTGAGATATGGCGTCAATGGAAGATAGAGAATAGAGAGATTGAAGGGTACGTAATATAGATATACGGACAAAAAATTAGAGAGAGAAAGAAGGGTTGGAAACTCAAAAGCAATGGAAATAAGAGGTGCTGATGGGGCCAACCACGTGAAAGTTCGGTATTCATTTGGAGATTTTTTTTGGTCCTTCTATTATTACTCTTTAACTTTTAATTTCTAATTATTTTTGGTTGGAGGCAAAATATAGAAATGTATTTAGAGAAAGAGTTTTAAATAAGTTGGTGGTCCAGCACCTAAAAACAGGTGGACTCCCTTTCCTTTGGATCTTAATTGGACCCATGCTCAGCTGCTTGTGGTCACTAAAAAAAGAGATATTAATAAACACTTTGTACAGATGAAAAAGAATGGGCATTGGTTAAATTTGTTGCACATAAGTGGAATTTAATAATTAAATAAGTTTTTGGAATATTGTAAAAAAAAAAAAAAATTTGTTATTTATTTATTAAAAGGATCGCTCTCTACAATAGAAAAACAAGTGAAAACATATTTTCCTTATTTTCAGATTTGAACCTATTTCATAGGCAAATATGATATTATGCAAAATATTACAAATGTTAGCCAACATGTTTTTGTCATTTATTTATGTTTTTAACTATTTCGCCAACAAAAAAACGTTATCAAACATGTCCTAAACGAAAAATGCTGTCCATTTCTCTTCCACATCGTTACTCTTTTAAAAGCGGGCTTTTCAACAATGACTCAAATTAAATAAAATTTTGATTTACTGATATTCTTACACTATAAAATTAAATAAAAAAATTATGAATTATAACAATATTTATTATGAAGATAAAAGGATATATATATATATATATATATATATATATATAAAACAAATTTATTAGTATGAGCTTACTGGAAAGGATGGGCCTAGCTTCAAGTCCAATAGTTCCGACAATAATTGGTAATTTGGTGATTACTAATCCACTAGACAGGATGGGCTGACCCAAGCGTATTGAATACAAATTGTCAATATGCGGAGTGATTCTTCTGGATCGAGGGTAGGCCCATTGGGCTTATAATATACTTCAGTTAGTCCTGCACTCGAAATTTGCTGTTTATCACTTATACATTTCCAAATAAACCATTGTGCGTGTGTTGCAGTGTTGGTATACTTTCTTCTCCTTTACATTAAAATAAAACAATATTAAGTTTATTATTTCTTCTATTTTCTGTCTTTTGTTTTCTTTTAACAAAAAATAAAATAAGTAATAATAATAATTTTTTTCCCCTTCTATTTCCAATTTTTTTTCCCATTTTCCTACTAAATAAAAGTTCTATATTATTTTTCCCTCCTCTGAAGAGTGAAACTTTAATCTCTAATAATACAAGGCCAATGTGCCTTTCTTTATATAAACCACAAACACAGTAAAAACGAAAATTGAAAACATTTTTTTTTCTCAAATTTGAACATATTTTTGAAACAGATATGATAACCAACATGTTTTTATCATTTATTTATGTTTTTAACTAAGTCACATAAAACAAAAGCATGTGCGGAACGTGAGAGCATGAAAACATATATATATATATATATACATATTTTTCAAATTTGAACATATATTTTAATCAGATATCATATTATGTTAACCTATATATTTTTATCATTTATTTATATTTTTAACTAAGTCACATAAAACGGGAGCGTGTGCAAAATATGAGAATAGGAGTACATTCGTAGTGTGAGAAAAACATCTATTAAAATTTTTTTTATGTAACTTAGAATTCTAACAGTTACCAAATATGCCCCAAACGGAAAATATTATCCATTTCTCTTTTAAAATTGAGTTATGGAACAGTGGTGATTTTAGTCGCCAAATAATTGTATAATTATTCTAATAATAATAATAATAATAAATAAATAAACAAACCCATGACCTATGAAGCACGGACACTCCTCCCAGAGGTCCCGTATCAATGTCGGACACTTTTCGGACACCGACACCCGTGTTCGAGGCTTGGACACGTGTCCGACACTTCTGTGAAGTGTCCAAATATTATTTTTTATTGGACACGTGTGTCCGAGCTCGGACACGCGATCCGACACTTCTGTGAGACAAAATTTATTTTCTCTCATTCCTCTCTCAGTCTCTTATCTTCTTCAATTATCTCTCTACATGAACAAGATATATATATATATATATATATATAAGTTACATGAATAAGATTTTGTGAAAGACTGAAAGTATATATGTTTATTCATATACATATTTAGTTCATTATAACTATGTCTCTTCTGCACATCTTCGTTTGGAATTTGGATCAACTTTATTTTTCATTTATTTTCTGTTTTGTCTTGTTTATATTTTTCTTATAATAGAAATGAAATTATTGAAATTGATTCTGTTCTTTGTTGTTATTTTATTTATCTGTACAAGATTCTATTAATTATATTTTGAATATATAATTATATATATATATATATATAATTTTATAGGCGTATTCCCGCCGTGTCTGTGTCCTATTTTTTTGATGAAATTTATCGTGTCATCGTATCCGTATCGTGTTGTCATACCCGTATTTTATATTCGTGTCCGTGCTTCGTAGCCCATGACTGAGCATTTAAATTTTAAATTTATTTTTATTTTTACCGGATGAACACACAATTCAAAAAGTCAAAAAGTCACCAAAAGATTCAAACCAGAAATTGCATATGCAATTGTCTGACAATTCTTCACCCACCAAGCCAAAGTCAATACCTTACTGTTCCTTCACAGTCAATCTGAACCATATCTGTCATATACACACAATCTGACTTCATACATCTTCGAATTTACAATCCCTAAACCCTAACAAAGCAAGCCAAACCAAACCAATCTAACCATTCTATTCAACAACAATCTCATGAATTGTTTCAGACAATACAGCTTTCTTCTACTAACATTCATTGCATTTCTCTGTGTTGTCTTTGTTTCGATCGCCGAAGACGATGTGAAGTGCTTGCAAGGTGTGAAGAGCTCGCTCACTGACCCTCAAGGTAAGCTCGCCTCATGGACTTTCTCCAACACTTCAATCGCCTCTCTCTGCCATTTGGCCCATTACGTCGGAGTATCATGTTGGAACGATTTTGAAAACCGTCTCTTCGGCCTCGAGCTTCGTGATATGAAGCTCGCCGGCGAAATTCCGGAGTCTCTACACTACTGTCATACCTTGCAAACTCTCGATCTCTCCGGTAACGATCTCACCGGTTCAATTCCTGCACAAATCTGTTCTTGGTTGCCTTATTTAGTAACCCTAGATTTGTCTAATAATCATTTTACTGGTTCAATTCCGGTTGATCTTGTTAATTGTTCGTTTTTGAATAATCTTATATTGTCAAACAATAAACTATCTGGTACTATACCTTACCAATTATCGAATTTGGGCCGACTTAAGAAGTTTTCTGTGGCAAACAATGATCTTTCCGGCACAATTCCAATGAATTTTGATGATTTTGATTCGGCGGATTTTGCTGGGAATAATGGACTTTGTGGGAGGCCGCTTGGTAAGTGTGGTGGCTTGAGCAATAAGAAACTTGCAATTATAATTGCAGCAGGTGTTGTTGGTGCCGCGATGTGGATGTTGTTTGGGTTTGGGCTGTGGCGGTGGTACTTTAAGAAGTTGGATCGGAGGAGCAAGAGTGGTTACTGGATTGAAAGAGGGGATGAAGATAGTTGGATTGAGAAATTGAGGGCGCACAGAATTGTTCAGGTTTCGTTGTTCCAGAAACCACTTGTGAAGCTTAAGCTGGCAGATTTAATGGCTGGCACGAAAAATTTCAGTGCAAAAAATTTTATAGGTTCGACTAGGACGGGGACTACTTATAAGGCTGTTCTTAAAGATGGGTCTGAGCTGGCAATCAAGCGGCTTAATGCTTGCAAATTAAGTGAAAAGCAGTTTAGGTCAGAGATGGATAGATTAGGACAGCTTAGGCACCCGAATTTGGCTCCGGTTTTGGGGTTCTGCATGGTGGAAGAGGAAAAGTTGTTGGTTTACAAGCACATGTCAAATGGAACTTTGTATTCAGTATTGAATGGGAATGAGATTGTATTGGATTGGGCAGATAGATTTAGGATTGGTTTAGGTGCTGCCAGAGGGCTTGCTTGGCTTCACCATGGCTGTCAACCTCCAATCTTGCACCAGTATATTAGCTCTAGTGTGATTCTCCTCGATGAGGACTTTGATGCGAGGATAATGGATTTTGGCCTAGCAAGGCTTAGGACTTCTTCCGACTCAAATGGGAGTAGTTTTGTCAATGGGGATTTTGGTGAATATGGTTATGTAGCTCCAGAGTATTCAAGCACGGCGGTTGCTTCATTAAAAGGGGATGTTTATGGTTTCGGTGTAGTGCTTCTGGAGTTGGCAACGGGTCAGAAACCTCACAAAGTTGGCGATACCGAGGAAGGGTTTTATGGCAATTTGGTGGACTGGGTAAATCAGCTCTCAAGTTCTGGTCAAATTAAGTATGTCATTGATAAAGATCTCTGTGGAAGGGGTCATGATGAAGAAATTGTGCAGTTCCTGAGAATTGCATGTAATTGTGTAGTTTCTCGACCCAATGACAGATGGCCTATGTACCAGGTTTATGAATCATTACAGAGCATGGCTGAGGAACAAGGTTTCTCAGAACAATATGACGAATTTCCACTATTTTTTGGCAGGGAAGACGCTGATAGTCCGGTTCATTTTTAGAGCAAAAAGATGGGAGAATGTTTCGGCATCTCATTGTATGTTCTCTGATGCTCTAAATGTAAATGCCATATTATTCATTTTAGCTAGCTTTTCCTGATACATTACCATATGATTGGATGTAGCTGTATGATGCAATGAGCTTCTTAAACTGTAGCCACCTGTTTATAGAAAATCTGTGTTTGCCTTCTGTTGAAGGAAAAGCATCTCTGAGATCTTCTTGTTTGTAAAATACTTCCCTGTATGTAGGTGAAAATACATTGAAGATGATAGAAAGAACTTTGAATATCATTGTAATATAGAATTGGAAAAATCACTTAGCTGATTTGGTTTTGTGAAATTTTTGCCTTGGGTTAATAGAGGAATCTCTCCTTAATACTCAATTAGATATCATATGCTACACTTAGCCGAGAGTGTATTTTCTATCTTTATTGTATATCATTTCTTTCTTTTTTCTATTTGTTTTTTGGTAATAAAATTTCCACTAGTAGTACTTGTAATTGCGGCATAATTTTACTTAGTTCCTTGACTTTTTTGGTTTGAATGATTGATGGATAGTAGTTGTTTCATTTCAGGAACGTAATTCCTATGTTTTTGCTGCATAAGCATGTCATAGCATCATGCCACTTTAAAGAAGGCTGGTTTATGTTCAACTCAATAAGATAAATTAGGACAATTTTAAGCCTAATTTGATACGCGATTCCAACCATTTCTTTTTTTGGTATGACATTTAAAGTGAGAGCAACCATTTCCTTGTAATGAAAATTCATTATGAGGAATGAAAATCCATTCTACATCTAAACCGATGGAATGAAAATTCATTTCAAGGAATGAAATCCTTGGCCACCACTACCACCTTCCACCATTACCGCCGCCGCCTCCACCGCCACCACCACCACCACTTCCACCACCACCACTTAGAATAGTGATTATCATTTCGTTCATCCATCATTTCATATATGCAACCAAACAATAAAATGAGATTGACCATATCATTCCCATTCCATTTCACTTCCGAGTACCAACTAACTTAGTTCTCAATGGAATGTTAACAATTAGGTATGGTACTGCATGCTTGTAAAGGATATTTAGTAAGTCTTATTTTTCTAAATAACAATCAGACCTGTCAAATTATTGGAGGAGCCAATGGTCAAAAGATTCAATTACATTCAACAAATACATGTATTCAACAATCATATATATATATATATATATATATTGGTATTTGACAAAGCCCACATCCTAAGTCAAGCATCAATACACACAAAAAAATCATGTGAAGACTTGGGCCAAAGAGAGAGGAGAACCTTGGAACTAAGAATAAATGCTCTCATGATTTGTTTAAGAGTTCCATTTAGTCATCTTCTTTTAACTGTGATTGTATTCTCCTGCATTGTTTCCATTGCCATTGGTGAGGATGAGTTGAAATGCTTGCAAGGTGTGAAGAACTCACTCAGTGATCCTCAAGGTAAACTCCGCTCATGGTCTTTCACCAACACCTCGGCCGGCTCTCTCTGCAGTTACACCGGTGTATCATGTTGGAATGAGAACCGTTTGATTAGTCTCGAGCTTCGCGACATGAAGCTCGCCGGCGACATTCCAGAGGCTCTGCAATACTGTCATAATTTGCAATCTCTGGATCTCTCAGGTAACCAACTCACTAGTTCTATCCCTGCACATATCTGTACTTGGTGGCCTTATCTAGTAACTATTGATTTGTCTGATAACCAACTCACTGGTTCGATTTCGGCTGATCTTGTTAATTGTTCATATTTGAACAATCTTATTTTGTCAAACAACAAATTATCTGGTACTATACCTTATCAATTTTCTGGAATGCAACGATTTAAAGAAGTTTACCGCATGATACCGTCATTCCTTTATTCTTTTAATTCAACGAATTTTGTTGGGAATGATGGACTTTGTGGCTGGCCGCTTGGGATTTGTGGTGGTGGTGGTTTTAGCAAAAAAGATCTTGCAAGTATAATCGCTGCCGGTGTTTCTGGTGTAGTGGCGTCCATGTTGTTAGTGTGGTTTTGTTGTTTAAGAAAACTCTCTTGTAACAATTTTCATTTGTTAACTGTTTGTGTTTTGAGTTGTTGTTTATACACAATTGTGCTCTGATTTACTGCAAAATAGAACGTGTTTGGTGATTCAAAAGTTTGTTTGTTTGATTGTTTTATTGAAATTGTTTTTTCACAGTTTCAAGTCCAAATATTTTAATTTGAACTAGGATTGGGGAATGCTCATAAGACTAGGGAAGCTTAGGTATCCAAATATTGTCTCCCTTTTTGGGGACCCGGGGTTGTGTATGGTATGTTTTAATCTTTTCTTCACTGTTAAAAGAAGGGACAATTACGTTTGCCTCCCTTGTTGATTGTCTAAATAATAGAAACATCCTCTATGGATTCAAATATAACATTCACTTCCCTTATTAATGTAAAATATATGTTCGTTTATAAACAAGAGTTTTACCATTAATTTTGTGACAGGAGAGGTAGACCGACACTGTAGCATTATTTTGGACCGCAACATGTTTGTTAAATAGTGATTTGTTTTATACTTTACCCAAATGTGCGTCTTGAATAGTTGCTCAAACTTGAAACACCAAATCAAATGTGATTTTTTAAACTCTAAAATGATTTTTTAAACCAGCCATTATATTTTTCAAATCAAATATGTTTTCATATTTTTACTTCATTATGTTATATTATTCATTTAGCTAGCTTTTCTGATACTAAGGGTGCACACGGTCCGGTTTGGACCGGATTGGGAACATTTTGGGACCAAATCATATATAACGGTTCCACTATTTTTGAAATTAGACTGAACCATAATATCCATGGAATCAAACCAAACTGTTAAAAATCGGTTTGATTCGGTTCGATTTGTCGGTTCTAGTTGAATTCTTTTTTATTTTATTTTAATTTAGAGGGGCAAAGTTAAAAAAAAAAAAAAAAAAAAGAAAAAGAAAAAACCTAACATGCCCTTATGTGTTAGCGAATTAGGTGATATGTAGAAGTGAAATAATGTTTGTTGTGTTTGTTTAAAACCGTTGATCCGTATGCTGTGGTTCGGATGCAAGGTCATGAAGTGTGCTATCTATTGTATGCTGTAATTCTCCTTGAAAATGAAGGCTTTTAGCTATTACCTTCTCTACACTATATGTCCGTGATAGCTTTTTATTGGATGGACCTGTATCAAGTTATTACAAGTAGATAGTCAGAAATGTTCTAAGTTGGAACAAAAGTCCAGTTACAATTCTCGAATGATGGGTTGTGCAACCAGCCCAGATTGTTAAAATCAGGCCATCCTCATTATTGTTGGGCCTTTGTTGACCCAGCCTCTGAGAGCCCAAAGTTGACCGACAGTCTAAAATTAACCTGGATTCAGTAAAACTTCACTGTGGGCTTTGCCCTGTCATGACCCATGAGTCACTTTCACCCAGTTTTGAGCCCAAGCCCAGAGGATAGGACCAGCTTACCAGGCTGGGAGGCTGATACGTTACCATATGATTCGATGTAGCTGTATGATTCAATGAGCGTTTTCTGTTTTTTTTCTTTTCTTTTGGTAATAAAGTTTTCATTCATAGTACTTTTAATTGCAGCATAATTTTACTTACTAGTCTAAATAACAATTAGACCTGTCAAATTATTAGAGCCAATGGTCAAAATATCCAATTAGATTCAACAAAGATATATATATATATATATATAGGTATTGACAAAGTCCACTTCCTAAGTCAAGCGTCAACTACACTCTAAAACAATCATATGAAGACTTGGGCCAAAGAGAGGGAGTACCTTGGAACAAAGAATAAACGATCTCATGGTTTGTTTGAGAGTTCCGTTTACTTCTTTATTTACTGTGATTTTATTCCCGTTCATTGTTTCCATTGCCACTGGTGAGGATGACTTGAAGTGCTTGCAAGGTGTGAACAACTCGCTCGGCGATCCTCTAGGTAAGCTCAGCTCTTGGACTTTCACCAACACCTTGGTTGGCGTGCTCTGTAATTACACTGGTAAGATATGGTATTGTCCAGAATATAACAAATGTTAACCAACATGTTTTTGTCATTTATTTATGTTTTCAACTGATTCGACAACAAAAACCATTATCAAACATGCCCCAAACAAGAAATATTGTCCATCTATCTTCACATTGTTACTCTTCTAAAATTGGATTTTTCAACAAAAAGTCAAATAGTTCTTTAGAACAAGAAATTCATTATTTGCAACCCTTAACTATACATCCACTCAAATAGGTACATGTAGCGTGTCACCGACTATACTGATATTCTCACACTATAAAATTAAATAAAATTTTAGCGAATATATAACATATTTATTATGAATATTAAAAATATATGTATTATAGAAAACAAATTTATTAGTATGAACATGTCCTGGATCAAGGCTAGGCCCAATGGGCTTGAAATATTCCACACTTTGCCAGTATTTTTCTGATGAGTTGAAATGCGAAAAAAAAAAACCACAGTAAAACTCGATTTTAAAGTAGTCATGGAACACTAGTGATTGAAGTGGCAAAATAATTGTATAATTATTCTACTAATAATAATAAATAAATAAATAAACCCATGACCCCATGGGCATTTAAAATTAAAATTTATTTTTATTTTTACGCGGATGAGCACACAATTAAAAAGTCAAAAAGTCACCAAATTCAAACCAGAAATTGCATATGCAATTGTCCGGCAATTTCTTCACGACCAAGCCAAAGTCAATCCCTTACTATTCCTTCACAGTCAATCAGAACCATATCTTGCATAGATTCCCAATATGACTTCATACATCTTGAATTTACAAACGCTAAACCCTAACAAAACAAACCAATCTCACCATTCTATTCAACAACAGTCTCATGAATTGTTTCAGATTATTCAGCTTTCTTCTATTAACAATCATTGCATTTCTCTGTGTTGTCTTTGTTTCGATCGCCGACGACGATGTGAAGTGCTTGCAAGGTGTGAAGAGCTCGCTCACTGACCCTCAAGGTAAGCTCGATTATTGGACTTTCTCCAACAATTCAGTCGCCTTTCTCTGCAAATACGTCGGCGTTGCATGCTGGAACGATCGCGAAAACCGTCTCTTCGGCCTAGAGCTTCGCGATATGAACCTCGGCGGCGAAATTCCGGAGTCTCTGCACTACTGTCATAGCTTGCAAGTTCTCGATCTCTCCAGTAACGATCTCACCGGTTCAATTCCTGCACAAATCTGTACTTGGTTGCCTTATTTAGTAACCCTAGATTTGTCTAATAATAATCTTACTGGTTCAATTCCGGTTGATCTTGGTAATTGTTCGTATATGAATAATCTTATATTGTCAAACAATAAGCTCTCTGGTACTATACCTTATCAATTATCGAGTTTGGGTCGACTTAAGAAGTTTTCTGTGGCAAAAAATGATCTCTCCGGCACAATTCCAATGAATTTTGATGATTTTGATTCGGCGGATTTTGCTGGGAATAATGGACTTTGTGGGAGGCCGCTTGGGGGTTGTGGTGCTGGTTTGAGCAATAAGAATCTTGCAATTATAATTGCAGCAGGTGGTGTTGGTGCCGCGGTGTGGATGTTTTTAGGGTTTGGGTTGTGGCGGTGGTACTTTAAGAAGTTGGATTGGAGAAGCAAGAGTGGTTACTGGATTGATGATATGGATTGGAGGAGCAATAGTGATTACGGGATTGAAAGCGATGATGATGATTGGATTCAGAAATTGAGGGCGCACAAGCTTGTTCAGGTTTCGTTGTTCCAGAAACCGCTTGTGAAGCTTAAGCTGGGGCATTTAATGGCTGCCACCAACAATTTCAGTGCAAAATATTTTATAGGTTCCACTAAGACGGGGACTACTTATAAGGCTGTTCTTAAAGATGGGTCTGAGCTTGCAATCAAGCGGCTTAATGCTTGCAAATTAAGTGAAAAGAAATTTAGGTCAGAGATGAATAGATTAGGGCAGCTTAGGCACCCGAATTTGGCTCCGGTTTTGGGGTTCTGCGTGGTGGAAGAGGAAAAGTTGTTGGTTTACAAGCACATGTCAAATGGAACTTTGTATTCAGTATTGAATGGGAATGAGATTGTATTGGATTGGGCAGATAGATTTAGGATTGGTTTAGGTGCTGCCAGAGGGCTTGCTTGGCTTCACCATGGCTGTCAACCTCCAATCTTGCACCAGTATATTAGCTCTAGTGTGATTCTCCTCGATGAGGACTTTGATGCGAGGATAGTCGATTTTGGGCTAGCGAGGCTTAGGTCTTCTTCTGATTCAAATGGGAGTAGCTTTGTCAATGGGGATTTCGGTGAATATGGTTATGTAGCTCCAGAGTATTCAAGCACGGGGGTTGCTTCATTAAAAGGGGATGTTTATGGTTTCGGTGTAGTGCTTTTGGAGTTGGCAACGGGTCAGAAACCTCACAAAGTTTGCGATACCAAGGAAGAGTTTTATGGCAATTTGGTGGACTGGGTAAATCAGCTCTCAAGTTCTGGTCAAATTAAGGATGTCATTGATAAAGATCTCTGTGGAAGGGGTCATGATGAAGAAATTGTGCGGTTCCTGAGAATTGCATGTAATTGTGTAGTTTCTCGACCTAAGGAGAGATGGCCTATGTACCAGGTTTATGAATCATTACAGAGCATGGCTGAGGAACAAGGTTTCTCAGAACAATATGATGAATTTCCACTATTTTTTGGCCGGGAAGACGCTGATAATCCGGTTCATCTTTAGAAGAAAAAGATGGGAGAAGCACGACAAAGTAGTTCCACACCTTGTCGTGTGAAAATTTCGGCGTCTCATTGTACGTTCTCTGATGCTCTAAATGTAAATGTCATATTATTCATTTTAGCTAGCTTTTCCTGATACATTACCATATGATTGGATGTAGCTATATGATACAATGAGCTGCTTAAACTGTAGCCACCCATTTATAGAAAATCTGTGTTTGCCTTCTGTTGAAGGAAAAGCATCTCTGAGCTCTTTGTTGTTTGTAACAAACTTCCCTGCATGTAGGTGAAAATACATAGAAGATGATAGACGGAACTTTGTAATATTGTAATATAGAATTGGAAAAATCAGTTATCTGATTTGGTTTAGTGAAATCTTTGCCATGGGTTAATAGATGAATCTTTCCTTGCTACTCAATTACATATCATGTGCTACAATTAGCAGGTAGTGTTTTTTCTATCTTTATTGCATATCCTTTTTTCTGGTTTTTTTTCTTTTGGTAATAATATTGGAGCCAATGGTCGAAATATCCAATTAGATTCAATGGTCAAAATATCCAGTTAGATTCAACAAAGATATATATATATATATATATATATATATATATATATATATATATATAGAGAGAGAGAGAGAGAGAGAGAGAGAGAGAGAGAGAGAGAGAGAGAGAGGTATTGACAAAGTCCACTTACTAAGTCAAGCGTCAATTACACTCTAAAAAAATCATATGAAGACTTGGGCCAAAGAGAGGAGTACCTTGGAACTAAGAATAAACGATCTAATGGTTTGTTTCAGAGTTCCATTTACTTCTTTATTAACTGTGATTGTATTCTCGTTCACTGTTTCCATTGCCACTGGTGACGATGACTTGAAGTGCTTGCAAGGTGTGAAGAAGTCGCCCAGAGATCCTCTAGGTAAGCTCAGCTCATGGACTTTCACGAACACCTCGGCTGGCGCGCTCTGCAATTACACTGGTGTATCATGTTGGAATGATCGTGATAACCGTTTGTTTGGTCTTGAGATTCGTGACATGAAGCTGGTCGGCGACATCCCAGAGCCTCTGCATTTCTGTCATAGCTTGCAATCTCTTGATCTATCAGGTAACCAACTCACTGGTTCTATCCCTGCACAAATCTGTACTTGGTGTCCTTTTCTCGTAACCCTTAATTTGTCTGATAACCAACTCACTGGTCCGATTTCGGCTGAGCTTGCTAATTGTTCGTATTTGAACACTTTAATTTTGTCAGACAATAAATTATCTGGTACCATTCCTACCCAATTTTCTAGTTTGCTACGGCTTAAGAAGTTTTCTGTTGCAAATAATGATCTGTCGGGCACAATTCCGTCGTTTTTTTGGTAGTTATAATTCGACAGATTTTGTTGGGAATAATGGACTTCGCGGCCGGCCGCTTGAGAAAGATGGTGGTTTAAAGAGGAAAGATGTTGCAATTATAATTGCTGCGGGTGTTTCGGGTGCAGTGGCGTCCATGTTGTTGTCCATGTTGTTAGTGTGGTTCTGTTGTTTCACAAAACGCTCTAAAGGTTAAGATGTAACAATTTTCTGCTATGGTGGATCATTTAGGGTCCATTCCGCAAGTGCTTGTGTTTGCATTTTAGATTTCATAAGAAGTAATGTTTTTGTTTGGCTCTGTTTATTCCCAAATAAAAATGTCTCAAAACTTCTTGGGTAATGTTTCAAAAAATATAAAATATAAAAAGTTTGGATGGTCTTAAAAAAAAACATTGTAGTATATACGCTATATTGACTTCTTTTTAAAATAAGCACTTTACATTTGTTCAGCTACATTAGTGAAAACATCATGTATTTATTTATTTTAGATTCGGGCTTTTTTTGAAGATGTGCAAAAACATAACAAATGTTGCTAAACACCATTTTGCCATTTGTTTCTTTTCTTTTTTATTATTATTTTTAATGAATTGAGCAACAAAAACATGAAACAAAAATGGTTGTTAAAGAGGACTTTAGTAAATAAGATAAATAATAATATAATTAGATAAGTCATTTTGCTGATTGTTTTTCACAGTTTCATGTGAAAGTATTGTAATTTTCATATTTGAACATTTTTTCGACAGAACAAATGTTACCAAGCATGTCTGTCATTTGTTTATGTTTTTAATTGATTTGGCAACAAAAACCATTTTCAAACGTATACATCATCCTAGAGGCTGGAATCAAAGTCATCAGCCCATGAGAATCACATTAGGGGTTATGTTCTTGGTGCAAGAACTTGGGTTGGTTGCCAAGAGAGCCCATTAAAAAATATAATTTGTTTTCACTCAATGTAAAGAAAATCTTTTAAAAGAAGTCAAGATATATGGATACAATTTTTTTTTTTTTTTAACGACATGATTCTGTTTTGAAATAAATTAGAGCACAACAAAAATATTACTTTTACTTCGTATGAAATAAAAAATGCAAAACACAAGCAAACACTTACGCAATGAACCTGAGCCTGTTCACGTTTTCACTTTTTTATTTTTACTTTTTCCAAAAATAAAATCATAATTATCACATCTTAATATTTAGAGCGTTTTATGAAACAATAAAATCACACTAACAACATGGACGCCACCGCACCAGAAACACCGGCTGCAATTATAATTCTCATATCTTTCCTGCTAAAACCACCGCCACATTTCCCAAGCGGCCAGCCGCAAAGCCCATTATTCCCAACAAAATCGGTGGAATTAATAGAATCAAAGGACGATGGAACCGTGCCAGACAGATCATTATTTGCAACAGCAAACTTCTTAAGTCGTTGCATTGCAGAAAATTGATAAGGTATATTACCAGATAATTTGTTGTCTGACAAAATAAGATTGTTCATATACGAACAATTAACAAGATCAGCCGAAATCGGACCAGTGAGTTGGTTATCAGACAAATCAATGGTTACGAGATAAGGACACCAACTACAGATTTGTGCAGGGATAGAACCAGTGAGTTGGTTACCAGCAAGATCCACAGATTGCAAACTATGACAGAATTGCAGAGCCTCTGGAATGTGGCCGACGAGCTTCATGTCGCGAAACTCAAGACCAGACAGACGGTTCTCACGATCATTCCAACATGATACACCAGTGTAATTGCAGAGCGCGCCAGCCGAGGTGTTGGTGAAAGTCCATGAGCTGAGCTTACCTAGAGGATCGCTGAGCGAGTTCTTCATACTCGCAAGCACTTCAAGTCATCCTCACCAGTGGTAATGGAAACAATGAATGAGAATACAATCACAGCTAATAGAAGATAACTAAACGGAGCTCTATAATAAATCATGAGAGTGTTTATTCTTAGTTCCAAGGTACTCCACTCTCCTTCGCCCAAATCTTCACATGAATTTTTAGAGTGTATATTGACACTTGATTCCGGATGTGGACACTGTCAATAATACCAAAATATACATCTTTGTTGAGTTTTCAGTACTGTCTGTGAAACGATGTTATCCTTAACATTCCATTCGTACTGTTTGTGCAACTAAGTCGTCCTCAACATTCCTCTTATCTTTAGGGTTACTACATGAAAAATAAACGTGTTTGTTGAGTCTAATTGGATCTTTTGACCATTGGCTCAGTGTCACAAACTTTGTGAGGTTTCTGACCTGTTGCCAACTTCAAAAGCACTCCACCGAAACCATAAACATCCCGTTTTAATGAAGCAACCACCGTGCTTGAATACTCCAGAGCCACATAACCGAAATCACCAAAATCATCTTTGACAAAACTACTCCCATTCGACTCGGAAGAAATCATAAGCCTCACTAGTCCAAAATCTATTATCCTCCCATCAAAGTCCTCATCAAGGAGAATCACACTAGAGCTAATATTCTGGTGCAAGATTGGAGGTTGGCAGCCATGGTGAAGCCAAGCAAGCCCTCTCGCAGCACCTAAAGCAATCCTAAATCTATCTGCCCAATCCAATACAATCTCATTCCCATACAATAATGAGTACAAAGTTCCATTTGACATCTGCTTGTAAACCAAGAACTTCTCCTCTTCCACCACACACAACCCCAAAGCCGGAGCCAAATTGGGGTGCCTAATGTCACAGCTTAGAGTTTCAACACCACTCTAACTACTCCTGAGTGGCACCAAGACGTTGTTTCTATTCACACAAGTACTTGGTCAGCCTAACTCATGTGCCCAACTTAGCCAACGCACTCCTCTTGTGCACTTACTAGTGTTGTAGTGGCCATCACCCTCTCCTCACTTGGCTTTTACACTCACACACACTAATGCACTTCAGTTGGCAATGAAATAACACTTTTATTACTTTAAAAAATGTATTGTATAAGGCTAGCTATCAAACTCTCTACAAGGCTCTCAAGACTCACTCTATGACTTGATGGATACAAAATGAAATCCTACTCCTATATATATAGCCATCCCTGTCCCTAATGGACGGCTAAGATGCATTCTAATTGACGGTGGAGATTAATTCTTTAAAATCTTCTCCCACCTTCTTTACACTTCCATACATATCTTCAAGTATTTATAACATTTTAGAACTCTCCATACTACTCCACACAACTCTGGAGAACTCTAGAACCTTCCACACACTTCTACAATATTCTACACATATCTAGAATCTTCCACACAACTCCAAACTATTCTAGAAGACTCTAGAAACTCTACTCGCCATGCAACGTCCAACTCAACGCTTGCGTGGCGTAACCTCCACAGGCGGGGCATGACACTAAGCTGCCCTAACCTATTCATCTCTGACCTAAATTGCTTTTCATTTAATTTGCAAGCATTAAGCCGCTTGATTGCAAGCTCAGACCCATCAGAAAGAACAGCTTTATAAGTAATCCCAGTCCTAGTCGAACCTACAAAACTTTTTGCTCTGAAATTGTTGGTGGAAGCCATTAAATCCGCCAGCTTAAGTTTCACAAGTGGTTCCTGGAACAACGAAACCTGAACAAGCTTGTCCGCCCTCAATTTCTCAATCCAAGTATCATCATCCCCTCTTTCAATCCCGTAGTAACCACTTTTGCTCCTCCAATTCAACTTCTTAAAAATTCAACACGTATGAATTCAGATTGTGCGTGTATGAATGAAATGGCTTGGATTGACTGTGAAGGAAACTTTTTATTCTTGGCATGGTTGTGAATGTTGACGATGCTTTTTTTTTTTTTTTTGAATTATATGTGTGTGGAAAATGATCACTTGCTAACCTGTAAATAAGAAATTCATTCATATTTTAGTGTGTTTGATATGATTGTTACAGAGTGTAAAATATATTGTATTGAATCACTTACAATGAATGAACAAGAGATATACATAGGCAAAACCTAATGGGTTAGGTGAAGTTGGGCAAGGTGTGAACACAAGCTTGGTGTACTTTTTATTTTTCAACATATAGTATATTTTTTTATTTTTTACTTTTATTTTTTTTTACATTCAACAATCACGCTTGTATGAATTTTCAAACTTGGGGGTGTGCAACGAGATTATTACCGTATATAAAGATTGGGTTCTGTCTCTCGTGCAACGATAAAAGGCCTCTCAATTTGAATGTCGATGAGCTTTAGACCAAGTCTTCGATTCTTGAAACAATCAAAAACCAAAAAGAAGCAAAGAAAGAGAGAGTGAGAAAAAAGAAGCAGCAATGGACAGAGACTTTGCTTCACTTTGGAAATATCATCATAAACACCAAGTATAATGTGTGTGTTTTTTAATAACTGATTAATATAAAATATTCAGCGAACGATTACGCGAATCCTCTTGAGTAACGATTTCTCGTTATTTTGTGCTGTTAGTGAATTTCGCTTCTATAATGATAAAATTTTGTTAGTATGAAAATATAATACTTGTTGACTCAACCAACTGAATCACCCAAATAATATGAGTTCAAATTCTTGATCTAATAACATGAAATTGTCACAGTACTATTGAATCACAAATAAAGGAAAAAACATTTTTGGAAAAGAGAGAAGCTTTAATTGATAAGTGGAATAGCTTTATACAAGGAACACAAGATAAAGGTATTGTATTGCTTCAGAAAACCAAAAGCAATTGTCCATTAGGTTTATCTTCCATGTCTCCAGAAGATGTCTGGAGACTAACACATTTCTTGGATTGTGCAACAACTTTTATCATTGTATCTACCTCTTCTCTTCTTCCTTTTCCATGCAAACTAAAATCCCATTCCATGAATCTCTGTCTCTCTTGATATCCAATAGCACGGGACCACATCCAACGGCACACCACACACACATGCGCGATGTGTATGTGTGATGAGCCGTCTGATGTGATACATCCATGTTGTACTGTAGAGCATCCGGACTCATAGAAAAGAAACTTCTGAGCATACACAAATTCTTTAACATGAAGTCACCAATCACACACTGCCAATACTCAAACTCAGTAACAAGGAGGCGCAATAACAACTTGGTTGAAAAATAAAATAAAAAAGAGAGGGAGAGAGAAGCACAATAGGAACTTAATTAGTAACTTGGCTATATCAATTACAAGAGTAAATAACTTGGCTATATTGATTCTTTTCTCTGCTAAACACATGACAACAAATCCCAAAGTGAAGAAGCATGGTTCACTGCAACAAGTGCAAGAAAACATGACCTACAAGCTTAAACATTTTTTTCTCCTTCGCCATGCAAATGCCTTCCACTTAAGCTCGACCAGGTGGTAGTTTAAATTTACCTGCTTTCCTGAAGAAAATATTACAAGATAACCATAAGAGCATGAATATTCACACACACACACACAGATAACTATATAATATTAAAACAAAATTTGGTTTTGTGTGAAGCAGTTTAACATAGGTTATAAAAATTGGCAAAAAAGTTTATGACTCTCAAGTGGACATCAAAAACATATCTGAATCAAAATTTGGTAGGTGTAATGTGCATATTCTTAACAATAAATAGATTATGGCCATGATAAAGAAATTCGAATAGAGAATTAAGAAGAGAATTTAAAAAAAATGAGCATCGTGTTCATCATTATCATTTTTGTCTTAATCTCATATGAATAGAGTTGGCCACGTAAAAAGGCTAGCCCATGAGGCTCCCCGTTTATACATATTACGTTTGTGTGTATGTGTATGTGTGCATGTAGAGGAACTGGATGTGTGTACCTGTTATGAATCGGATCAGCTCCATTAGGTACTCTCCTTTTGCTTACATAATTCAGATCCAAATCCCAGTGAACATCATGTCTCTCTGTTCCAATCAAATTCAAGAATCTAGAATTCGCTGACGACGAAATCATTACAGTAATGGTTGTGGCTTCGTAGTTGGTTTCAATACCAATTAATAAAAACAAGATAAACCCCATGAACAGAACAACTCCTAACAAAGCCCTCAAAACCCTACCCCTGCCACCCATATTAAATTCTCTCCCCTTTTCTTCTAAATATCCTCCCCAACACATAATAACTGCCCTTTCTGAGATAGAAATGAAAATGAGGTTGAAACAATCATGATGTGTGTGTGTGTGTGTGTGTGTGAGAGAGAGAGAGAGAGAGAGAGCAGGGTTAGGCAAATATTGTAGTTTTCAACTTGGCGGGTAAGGACTGATTCGTTTTCTTTATAGATCGAGCGAAGACTGGAAGTATTTCTTTTTGCATTTATATATATAGAGAGAGAGAGAGAGAGAGAGAGTGAGAGTCAGATCAGTATTTTGCAAAAAAGAAAAAAAAGTAATTGGTACCAGTGTTGCTTTAAAATGATTGGGTCCACAGAAAAAATTCTTCCTTCGCTTTGGTTTGCATCTTCATGTAGACCAAAGGGGACCTCACTATCTCCTAGTCCTTGGGTACACTAAGTTTAAAAAAAGACATATATATATATATATATATATATATATATAGGGTCTTGTCCTCCATTTGAGAAAATATAAAAATGTGTTCTGTGGAGCTCATATTGGGGATTTGGATGGGAAACAATATTCATACACAAAATTAAATGGCATCTTTGTCTCAGTGAGATGTCTCAAGTCTAAACTGAATTATTTCATTAGATGTACTTCTAAATTTTGGACTGTATGTTGCAGAAAATGAAATATTTTTGGTTAATTAGATCTCTCTCTCTCACACACACACAAACACAGAGACAGAGGACAACGTGGAGGTCCACTTGAGCAATTTCCTAAAAGGTAAAATGGACATGCAACTTTGAGTTTTTTATAATTGCTCTATCTTATTGTACATTTTGTAAATTTCACATACAATATTCCATAAAAAAAACAATTAAAGAAAGGAAGTGTGAGCTCCTATAGTAGAGAATGCCGTCCCAATATAAAGGTGCATTATAGATTAGGGGGTAGGAGTTGGGATCCCCTGCAGGTTGGACAGATCTCAACACTTGCACATGCGAGCGTTTACACGTGTGTGTGATCAATAGGGATCCATTCGACGTGGAGCCGCAGAGGATTCCAACTCGATAGGGCATATGTAGGTGCCTATATGTGTTTGAGTTGAGATCATGATGTGGAAGATCCCAACTCGGTATTTAATATCCATCTCTTTATTAAGGGAAAATAATAAAAGGAGGTAGACATATGAGATTCGAATGCATCCTGACCTTACCTTTAACCTAAATTTGATTCCAACTCATCATATCCAACAATGGCCTTCACGCTTTCTGGTTAAGCTCATTCTATATGCTACTTCTTCCGGGAAAAAGGAGGGAGAGAGTGGAAAAAAGGAAGGGGAGAGATGCTTCCTCCTTTTAAACTCAAAGTATCAACAGGAATGGTCCACCAATCCTCTGTTCAAAAAAAAAAAATTCTCCTCCTTTTATGAACTCTAGCTACCTCTGTACATGGGACCTTCAAATTGAACTTAATATCTGTTAAAGTTGTGAGCAAGACATGTTAGCTGGATATATATATATAGTCTTCTGAATGCCCCAGTATTGATTCTCTATAAGAGAAACCAACAGAATTGTAGGTGCAAAAAACATAGGCTTTTGTGTAGGGCGGGAGATTCTCAAAATTTTGAGAGATTAAATTGCGAGCCCTTTAGACATATGCTTTCGTAGCAATAATTTGTTTTTATATGAATGTGAAATTTTCATTAAAATTAGACGATAAACAAATAAAATATAATAAGTTTGAAAACACACAAAGCAAAGTAGGTCTTCGTGATTTATAAAAGAGTACAATCCAATTCACATTAAAAAATTTAAAAATATTCAAAATAACTTAGTCACAAAAATCAAAATTCAACTTCATATCAAAGTAAATGTAACCCTCTTACATTTTGAGATGCAAAATTATAAATAAAGTATTCCAATCGCTATCATAATTTTGTTATTTGAACTGAGCTGAGTTAAAATTTTGACAGTTGATTGCATCTATGAATTAAAAATTTAGTTGTTTGAATTGGGCTTAATTATCATGCATGCACGTGAGCCCAAAACTAATATAATAATAAAATATAAAAAAAATCCTTTTTTCTTTTGAAAGAATGGAATAGAAACAAATTATTTTTCCATACAAATTATTATATTACATATATAAATTGATATTATAAGTATATGTTTATTGTCATAATTTTTTTTTTTTTTTTTTGAAAGTTACTTATTACCATAAATTTACATGATATATGATTGTGTATTGTATTTTAATTAGGGCGAATTGCAAAAAATTCCCCTCGACTATCACTCACTTACAAAAAACACCCCTTATGAATATTTTTAGAAAGAAACTCCCCTCAACTTTACTGAAGGGAGTATTTTAACTTAACACCGTGTAATAATTTTTTGAGATAATTTTTTGAACCAAATTACCCCTCAACATTTTGGATTGAATCATTGTTCAGTACTTCATTAAAACCGGTGAATACCAAATTCAGTCAAACCCAAATTTTTAGACGATTTTCATCAACCCAATTTCCTCTCAACCAATAGCCTAAATGAGCTACCATTAAATACATTCAAAGGAAACCCAATTGGAAACATAACAAAAGCTAAACCATCACCATTTTTTGGCGAAATCAAAAACGAGAAATAACTCGAAAAAAAACACCATTCTCTTTGGTTCCTTCCGCCAACTTGATGGGTTTCTTGTAAATGAGTTGCCCAGCACTTGAACTCGACGACCCAGTGAGTTGTACGGACGAACAACCATTATCGATCTTAGCATCACCATATAGAGTGTGTTGGGACTTAAAGCTCGAATCTTTTATCGAAATTCTTGAAAGAAAATGACAAATTTGGGTATACAGATAGGGTTTTAAAGTAGAGAAAGAGTAAAGAAAGGGCTGTGAAGTACCTGGAAGGGGAAAAAGCCACCATAGTCGATCTGGGTTTGAGCTGAGATTCTGGGACTGTGCTTTGTGTATTGTTACTTTCTCTCTCTAGGGTTTGTTGGATGAACCCAATTACTCCACTTGGGTATTTGTGTTTTATATTTCTAGGGTTTGAGAACAGAACCAATGAAGTGAAATGGGTGGTGGTCAGTCAGCTTGGAGGTTGTGAAAATTAAATACCTTTTACTCTCTTCTGCAACACATAAATTCACTTTCTCTGAATATTTGTTGACGGGACCGGAGCAGCGAGGTGCCATGTCGATGGGACCGGGTTTGGAAGATTGAACAATGTGCAAAAGTTGTGTTGTCAACTTGTTGACATCAAAGACGAACTCGGTCAGCTTCTATGCGAAGCCCTTGATGGCAATCTGAATACATGTTTCTTCATTTGTATGTTACAATAGTTTAAAAATGAAGAATCACAAAATTTTAGTATTATTTGGGTAGATGAAAATAGTCAGAAAATTTGGGTTTGACCGAATTTGGCGTTCCACTGAATTTGGTGTTCACAGAATTTAATGGAGGACTGAACAATGATCCAATCTACAATGTTGAGGGGTGTTGCTCAAGTATAGACTCTAGAGGGGGGGTGAATAGAGTCTTTGGCAAACAATGACCAATTTTCGGATTTGTAAATTTTACTAAACCCTTCTAACAATTATGTTATAAAGAAGATATAAATATAAGCAATTAATAGCATAAATATAAAGGAGATAAGGGAAGAGAGATTGCAAACATTCACACGGCGATTTTAGCGAGGTTCGGAAACTCCTACTTCTCGGCTCAAGACCCCTCTTGAGACTTCCCAATCCACTAGTGCACCTCCTTACTGGTGAAGAGCAAATCTTTACATGAAGCAACTCCTTACTTTACTTTGCTAAAAGACAACCTCTCTTAGTCTTCCTTTAGGTCACACCAACCCTTACAAATTGAAGCTAGCTTGCTTCTTCTTCCTTGGGCCACACCAGCCCTTACAAATTGAAGATCAGATTTGTTGCATACAAATATATCTCTCAAAGATTGATATGCAAATATTAGCTCACAACTTTCAGTTCACTCTAGAGTATATATATAAATAAATTGAAGCTCAATACTCTATGAATGATATGGGATGAGAGAGTATAATATGAATACAAGAACAAAAACTCTTTGGATGCTATATGATATTTTTCTATGGTAGCAACACTTAATCCCGAAGTCCCCATCTCTATTTATAGAGTTTTGATGAGTTAATTCAAAAATATAGCTGTTGTGCACAGGGTTCAAGGCAAAATAGCCATTCAAGTTTGAATCTACGCAAGTTCGATCGACCGAAATAGAACACCTATGTGTTTCGGTCGTCCGAAATGGTTCAAGATTGGCTTTCATCTTTGTTTCGGTAGACCAAAGAAAACTTTCACAAGTTTCGGTCGATCGAAAGTCCTTCTTCCTTTGTTTTAAAGCATTCTGTGAGAATCGGTCGTCCGATTCATTTGGCTCCTTAGTTTCGGTCATCTGAAACTCTTAGAGCAACATTTCATTTCCTTGGTTCAGTAGACCGAACTCAGTTGGTCTTATATTTCGGTAGACCAAAATAGAACTGATGCTTCAGAAATTGCTCTAAGTTAACAGATGAAACAGTCTATGCACAGAGTACCTTATTTTCATTGAAAACATTTAAGGAAATGTCTTTACTTTAATTTATATGTCCATTTACTTTAAGTTTACAATGTAAATAAGGAAGTACCCCCCACTTGGATTCAATAAAAAATACTAGAAAATTGAAATCTAACTAAATCAAAATGTAGAAATTCAGTTTTAGTACAAATTTGGATTTCCAACAGTTTTGGTAAAAATGAATCTGTATGTAGACCAATGTAGACTTGGTCAAAAATTCTAATAAAATCAGTTTAGGCTAGTTTAAGTATAAAGAGTTATTACCGGAAAAAATTATTTTGAAATAATCATTATTTCAAAAATTCATTTTTCATACTTAGCCAAAAACACAGTTTTTTATGACGCGCATTCTGGGGTCCTAATGTCCGTTACCAACTCATGGTAATGAAGGCTTCGCATGCCTTAATTATTGACCAATATGAATTATATGATTGATGTGCATGGTCTTAGTATTTCTAGCACAAATGATGAGTTCTTTCAAAGCTTATGCAAGCTTGAACTAACTCACTCTTTAGCAATGACTTCATGTGTAATCGTATATGAATGAAGTGCATAGTCTATTGCTAATGGATATAGGAGCATATGAATGATGATATGATGTGCATGGTCCTATAGAGATGAGTTTCAAATGGATTCATAAATACTGTGACATTGAATCCTAAACACTCACCATCCTATCTACCCATTTTTTTTCACGCTTTGTCCATGATCGTGTAGGCTTTTAGGTAAACTTGTTTTATTCCTTTCTTTGAGTTGCTTTCTTGCTCATTGTAGTCCAAGCTACCTTTGGATGGACTTTGCATTTGGTTCCTTGCAACTTCATGTTCCTTTTGTCTCATTTGTTTTCCATAGATGTGACCTTGAGTAATGGAATATATAGAATGATCTTTCATGCTTCATTGAGGTCATCCTTTGAATGTGAATAATCTATAACACTCAATGTAAACATTAATCCTTAAACACCATTAATAGTTTGTTATCATCAAAACCTATAGATTGTCCTTGAATGGAGTCCTTAAGGTCAACAAGGGGTAATTTGGTCCAAAAAATTATCTTAAAAAATTATTACACGATGTTAAGTTAAAATACCCCTTTCAGTATAATTAAGGGGGATTTCTTGCTAAAAATATTCATAAAGAAAGTTTTTTGCAAGTGAGTAATAATCGAGGAGAATTTTTTTAAATTCACCTTTTTAAATATGGATATCATAGCTTGAAATGAAATGAATGTCTTTTAATTAATTAAAAGGTTATTTATATTCAATTACGGGAAGAAGTGATATTTGAGATATATACTACTATATTAAATTATGGTACTAAATTTGAGACTTTTCGAAATTGAAAGCCCGAGACGACCGCCTTGGTCTTTACCCAATGGCCGACCTGCTTTTATGCTTCATCCTCACTACACCTTGTCATTGAAATATCCTTACCCAATAAAAATTTAACAAATCAGTTTGTGAATCCGGTTTAGAGCAAATTTTTTAAGTAGTGGGACCAACTTCTTTTATCAATGACATGGCATGCATCTTCTTGGTATAAACACCAAACTTCATTGAGGTTTTAAAAAGCTATCCAACTTTTATGTCATTAATTTTTTAATAATAATACCCCCAGTCCCAGTGTCTCATATTTAAAAAAATCTCAAATTTTTTTAAATTCACCTTTTTAATTATGGATATCATAGCTTGAAATGAAATGACTGTCTTTTAATTAATTAAAAGGTTATTTATATTCAATTAGGGGAAGAAGTGATATTTGAGATATATACTACTATATTAAATTATGGTACTAAATTTGAGACCTTTCGAAATTGAAAGCCCGAGACGATCGCCCTGGTCTTTACCCAATGGCCGACCTGCTTTTATGCTTCATCCTCACTACACCTTGTCATTGAAATATCCTTACCCAATAAAAATTTAACAAATCAGTTTGTGAATCCGGTTTAGAGCAAATTTTTTAAGTAGTGGGACCAACTTCTTTTATCAATGACATGGCATGCATCTTCTTGGTATAAACACCAAACTTCATTGAGGTTTTAAAAAGCTATCCAACTTTTATGTCATTAATTTTTTAATAATAATACCCCCAGTCCCAGTGTCTCATATTAAAAATTTATTTCGAAAATTGTGAATTTCCCCCCTCTAATAAAAATTTCTGAAATTTTGACTGTTTTATATTCTCCAATATTTAACTCAACAAATACTCTGATCAAATCAAACTCTATTTCCCAAAAAAAATCAGAAAGGTTACTCCTATTATTATTATTATTTTGATAATTACTATTCCAACCTTTATGAGTCCAATAAAAATTTACAAACTAATCACAGAGGAAAAAAGATGGAGCCAAGTGGGCCAGATTTCCCGCTCTAGGTCTGAGACAGACTTCGAAGAGGCCCATTTTCTGAGGAGATGGGCTGGCTTACTATTTAAGGATGTACGGAGCCCAAACCACTTTGAAATTGGGATGGGCCCTTAAAATATGATTGACGTGTCTACCCAGACGTAAAAAATCAAATATTGATTAGGAAACAAAGACGTGAACATTCGTGCAATAGGTAGCAGTCACACGTGCACTTCACGAAAAATATGTCCACTGGTAATTTTCTAAACGCGTAACATGACGCTCTCTCGTACTGACTCAAAACCTCGTGATGACAACAACTCCACGCATTACGCACACGGTTTTTTTAACCACAAAGTCCTATTACTTTATCCACGCGCCTTCACCACGTTAGCAAACACCTGTGCCCTAATTGTGTGGGCCATTCCAATGTTGTAAATTAATGTAGTAGTACTACTTTTCACCCTTTCAAATAAGAAGCATTTTCAGTGCTCTTGTACCTACCAAGTGTACTTCTGCCGTAGGGACGCCGGGTATGGACCGGAAAATAGTCTTTATTTTTATTCCCCGTTTAACATACTTATTTTTATTTAAAATTATTTATTAAACGAGGCGGAACAAGAATGGGATAAGACGAGACCGGAAGGAATTTTATAGGTTATTTTTGTAAGTGTTTGTTTTTATTTCCGTAACTATTTTTAATTTTATTTAAAATTATTTATTAAACATGACGGGACGAAGATGGGGTGAGTCAAGGGTTGGAATGAATTTTATAGAATACTTTCATAATTGTTATTACGAATCTAACGAGAGTAAATAATAAAAAAAATCAAGTATTATAATAATACTTTTGTTTAATGCAAATAAAAATAAAAATTCAACCTCTTAATTGAAACTTAAGACTTAAAAATATAAAAATAATACATAAAAATTCACAAATAAAAATAATACGAAAAAATATTTAGTGATTGAAATATAATAGCTTAGGGTTTAATTAATATATATCTAATATTATTGTATATAAAATAAAGTATAGGAATAATATTATAATTTATTATTATAAACGGATAGGTGACCTTTCCCCTTTCTCGCCCATAACCATGTGCATTTTCAATCCTAACTCTCATCTTCAACCTAAAACCATTTAACTACCTCCACAATCGTCCTAAACCAGGGTTGGGGGTACCCGATTAGACAGAATAATTTGTCATACTTCTCACTAATAAAAACTCCTCATTTCTCTTAATTACTCACTATAAACCCCAATTATAAACCCCAATAATAGCAAGTCTTTTTCCTATTTATTTAAGAGTCGGTTATATGTATCCTATACTTTCAATCTACCTATGAGTAAATTATATATAAAAATATATATACCTTCTTTAAATTCGGAGATGCTGAAATAGGATAATGTGAGTTAGGGACTTTACTACACCCTACATCATGGTGATATTTTGATGGATTAAAATTCTCTCTTATAAAACAATGTTCTATCCTATCCGGTACCTTACACAAATATCTTGATGGACGGACAATGTTTCACGAGTAGGATTTTGATCCCATCTTGTAGTATTCCTTCCATTCGGATCACCATAAAGTCTAAACTATATGCTATCAAACAATACACCTATTGACCCAATTTTGCATTATTGGTACCACTTTTTTCAAACAGTAACACACTTTTGCAGCTTTGGAGCGTGAAGAAGCGCGTGGAATAACCATGACATTGCCCCAGTCTCATTAATAAGGCCACCTGGCTATCAATTAACAACAGTAATGTGGGCCCTTCGAGGAAAGATGCCGTACGCTAACTACTGCTGCTATGAGTCAGTGGCGATTTTATTGACCATAACTTTTCTATACACGATACCCCTCCTCTCTCTAATATAATCTCTCTCGCTATATTTTACCCTAAAACAAAAACTTCTATATATTTTTTTATATAATTACATCTGTATAAATCTCTCTCCTACCAATTGTATCTGTTTATATATATTTTGTAAGGGGAAGTGAACCACTGAAGATGGAGAACTGAGACTCGCTTCTATTTCTAAGAGTGAGACTTGATTTGGGTGAAATTTTATTCTGATCTGAAATCATCCAGTTTTAGAGAGAGAAAGTTTTAGAGGGAGAGAGAGAGAGAGAGAAAGAGAAACAATGGGAGTATCTGGGTCGAAACCCAAATACTTTCCGGGAGGTCGATCGTGCTTTAGAAAGAAGCACCATCGCAAGCAAAGAAAAGTGATCAAAACCCAATCTTTATCTCGTAAGCTCAACAAGGTCGATTCATCAGCTCAAATCGATCCTTCTTTTTCCAATCCCACTTTTCAAGGTTCCGATCTCTTACCCTTTTCGTTTCTTTGCTTAATTTTTGGTTTCTGAGTCTATTTTTTGATTTTTTTTAGCGTTTAGTTTACGACATTTTACTTAAAACTTCATTAATTAGGACTGATTAATGAAGGTATATTATTATTATTATTTTTTGGGTTGTATTTTTAGATCAACAAATAATTTATTAAGGCTGTATACTCAACTTAATTCAAACCAATGAATTTTTTTTTTTTTTTTTTTTTTTTGAGGATCCTTAGATTAAACAAAATTAATGATAATGTATAGTTTCGACAAAAGATTTAGGCTGAGTCTCAGCTGTCAAGCTACCTAACGCAATTATTCCCTTTTTTCGAGTTTGGCACCGACAGTATGAATGTAGATGGCAAGTTAGTCTTATTTCATAAATAATGGTATGTGACTTCAAGCTTGTAAAAAAAATGATTTTTCTAGTTAACTATGTGCTTGTGACAATGATCTTTTACTTTGACTGTTTGAATTTTATGTTTCTATGTTGAATTTTTGGTTTCTGAGATTTTATGTATGTTTTTGCGTTAGGAGAATTTAGAGTTTTGCTTTTAGTTTACTCCATTTTACTTAATACTTGATTAATTAGGAGTGATTAAAGAAGGTATCACATTACATTTTGTTTTGGGTATATATTTTTGGATTGACAAGTAATTGATTAATTCAAATCAGTAAAGTATTTTCTTAACTATTTGGGGTCGGCTATTTAGATTAATAAAATTAATGATGATATAATCTTGACAAAAGATGTAGTCTGAGTTGCAACTGTCAAGCTACCTAACGCAATCAATTATCCCCTTTTTCTTGTTTGGTAGCGAAGGTGTGGAAGTAGATTGGTTATGTGGGAAGTTAGTCTGATTTCATAAATAATGGAATGTGACTTCACGCTTGTAAAAAAATGATTTTCTTTTGATTCTTCTTGTTACTTCAAGCTTGGAAAAAAATTGGTTTTTCTTTTGATTCTTCTAGTTAACTATCTTGAAGTTTGGTGGCAAGGTAACTATATCTTTGTGACAGTGGTCTCTGATTTTCACTGTTTGGATTTTTTATTTTTATGTTGAACTGATTTTTTTTACTAAATTTGATTTCATGAACAGTTGGCTCAGATTCATGGTTTGATACTACGACTGTAATTGACTCTGACGGTGATGATGATTTTTACAGCATTCAAGATGGTATGTGGCTTTGACTGTGAGCAACTGATTAAAGATTATGCTTTAATTTAATTTTGTGAGGTAGTTGAGTTATGGGAGTTGCTGATTGTATCATAAATGATATTTGTGTATGCAGATGTTGTATCTCAAAATGGCTTGGAAATCCGGCCAAAACATGCTGATGCTGATCAAATAAAATTAGATGACTCGCAGAGTGAGATGAAAACCCCTGTTTTCTTGGATGAAATTTCCACTCGTTCTATGGATGAAAGTTCTGGAGGGGGCGAGACGGTTGGAATGCATAATCGTGGACTTCTTTCAAATGCCTGTTTACCTTGTCTGGCTTCTACTGATCCCTCAGATGAGAAGAGAAAATCGTTTAGCAATAGCTCTACAAGTTTTAAAAAAAAGGCATCCTTGAAACTCTCATTCAAATGGAGGGAAGGACAAGTTAATTCTTTTACAAGTATGCACCATTGTCTCTTTCTTTATGTAGATTCATTAGAATTTCTCTTGGTTGCTGGGTTCTCTCCTGTTTTCCGACTTTACAAGAAGTGAACATGAGTCCTTACTAATATCCGCACTCAACATTCTTAATATTGGGATATTGTTATTAATTCTTAACATTTTATCTGCAACTAATTGTTGAACTATAAGATCTACTGAACGTAGTTCAGATGCATAAAACCATTTCAGTATAAATATATGATTGTTGCTCCTATACCAAGAAAGGCCACTAGTTGCTTAGGTCATCCTTGGTATGAATTTTTTATGTCCATGCTATTGTAATGCTGCTATAGGTTGTTCTTCAAATCTCTTCTTAAATAGTTCCTATTTACATGAATTCCATATCAAACAAGTTTGGAATTCAAATGATCGTTATACAATATCAGATGCTCAACAGTTGCTGGTTTTTTAATGATTACGTAAACTAACTGTAATGTAATTCATGAAGTTTAAACTTAGGTCTAAGGGCTTGCATATCATTTTTCCGGTACAATGTTATATTAACTCCTATATTGTCCAGAAAACAAGTCATTATTCCATGATTATAAGATTTGCAGCAAATGTGCGCGAGATACAAAGTCGCATATCTTGCAAGATGATGATACCTGTCATAATGCAATTTCCCTCTTTATTTTGCTATTTGTAGTTTGTAAACTATTTGCAACAGAACGAACAGCTTATATATGCATTTGCTTTCTTTCTCAGAGTCACCAAAGGAACTTCTGCAAAGACCAATAGCAGGTTCCCAAGTTCCATTTTGTCCAATGGGGAAGAAAATGTCTGATTGTTGGTCACCACTTGAGCCAAATACTTTCAAAGTCCGGGGACCAAACTATCTTAGGTAGGAGCCAAGTTCAGTTTTTTTTTTTTTTTGCCCTCTTTCCTTTGATACCATGCAAATATTTGGTAGACGATTTCACTATTTTCTCTTCTTTGGCTGGAAACTCAATTTATTTATTTATTTATTTATTTTTTCTTTATTTCTACCTACCTGAATTGGATGTTGCATCTGCTCTTATTTGTTTGACAGGGATAAAAAGAAAGAATTTGCTCCAAACTACACTGCATTTTCTCCTTTTGGTGTTGATGTATTCTTATCTCCACGGAAAATTGATCATATTGCTCGTTTTGTGGAACTTCCTGCTGTTAATTCATCTGGAGAAGTCCCTCAAATTCTTGTTGTAAATCTCCAGGTATATACATTCCATTGTCGCTGTAATTTAGTCCTTAAATTTATTTCATGTTATTTTGGTCGAATTTTTTATATAAACAATTTGTGTTGCTTGGCGTTTATTAAACTATTTGTCCAAGGTGCATCATATAGATATTTATATCACTATATATTCTCAAGTTTTGGGGCCCAACAAAGTCTCTAAAATTATCTTACGCTCCAACAACCGTTGGTCAATTAAGAAAGGGAAAGCATTCCTTCAATGTTAAATTGACAAGTTGAAGTTATGAAGTTGCTTTAAGATAATTTACTTGGAAATAGGATATTTTTTTGGAAACTCCTTCAATAATGACATGCCCCCTTTTGTCTTCTTTTTCTCAGATACCGCTGTATCCTGCTACAATATTTCAAAATGAATATGATGGAGATGGAATGAGTTTCGTGTTGTACTTCAATCTGTCTGAGAGCTATTCAAAAGAAATTCCAACTCATCTTCAAGAAAGCATCAGAGTAAGATACTTGTATAACTTTCTGCTTCTAATCTTTGCATTTTGTTCCAAGAGGCGAGTTTTAAAATAATGGAAATATATTTTAGAAGTAATATTTTTTAATTTGGGGAGTGGTTTTTTTTTTTTTTTTTTGGGAAGTTAATGGACGCATCTATATGATGTGTATTTACTGTTACACTCCATTCTAACTAGTTTGAGTTCATGCTTCTTCTTGGACAGAAATTAATTGATGATGAAGTAGAGAGGGTTAGAGGTTTTCCAGTAGATACAATTGCACCCTTCAGGGAAAGATTGAAGATCTTGGGCCGATTGACAAATATCGAGGATCTTCATTTGAGTTCAACTGAGAGAAAGCTCATCAATGCTTATAATGAAAAGCCTGTTCTCTCACGTCCTCAACATGAATTTTACTTGGTAAGCTTTCCTTAAAAATTTCAAATTTCTTTAACATGGTTGGATTTTATTCTTTTCTAATATTTCCATTTCACTGGTTCGAATATTTAGTAGATTAATTTTTTATAGTTATTGTCTTTCCATACATGAAGCCCACATAACTTTTTTGTACTTTTTCCTAAATAGAAATAAGATTTGCCACTGCGCAGGTTACGAAAAGTGACCGTCCACATTGAGGGTAATACTAGGGAAAGAGGAAGACCAAAGTAAATATGGGTAGAGTTAGTAAAGAAATAATAGTATGTGGATTAACTGGGGCTATGGCCTTAAATGGAGCGGAATAGAAACATAGGATTCATGTAGCCGACCCTAAGTAACTGGGAAAAAACAGATTTGCCACCTTAGGGAACGATGGGGTTGTGGATGTTGGCTAATGCCTCCTGTAATTTCAAGAAGCAACTTTTTTTATTGAACTTTTCTATTTGCTAATATAGAATGATGTGGTAATTCCATCAGACTGAAATATTTACTGAAAATATTCATTATATTCTCAATAATATATCCACTGTGAAATTTTTTACAGGGAGAGAACTACTTTGAGATTGATTTGGATATGCACAGATTCAGTTACATCTCTAGGAGAGGATTCGAAGCAATTCGAGATAGGTTGAAGCACTGTATCTTGGATTTCGGCCTGACAATTCAGGTAACCATCTTTAAAATGAAAAGTTCCTCTTTTATTTTAAAATCTACTATTAGGCATACACCTGACATGACCTTTTAAATTTATATCAGGGAAACAAGGCAGAAGACTTGCCAGAGCATGTGCTATGTTGTTTACAGTTGAAGGAAATCGACTTTAATAACTACAGGCAACTCGGTTTTTAAGTTCATCGTGAATGGGATCGGCCACAATCTTGGATTTTAAGTTAGGAACCTCAACCAGAATGTCCTAAAATACATTGAAGGTACTTGGCAATTGAGAACTGATAAAGAGCCATGTTACTTTCTATTGTTAGCCTTCATTTCTTCTTTTTGTAGTTTTATTTAATATCTTCATGAGTGTACAGTCCTGACCTACAATAAACTTCAATGAAATAATGAGATTATTCTTTGATTAATTCTTTCTTTTTAACTTGCAATGATGGTTGTGGTATTATTTATAGTTTCCAACTTTCCATTGTATGTACAATTTACAGTGATTGAAATTTATGTGAGTGAGAGACTAGGTTATCACATGTAACGACGTCATTACGACTTCATCCATCGCTCACACAAAATATAAAAAAAGTGGATTGTGTCCGACTTTCAGGCTATTTATCATTTGAAAATGAATGGTTGCAGAAAATAAAAAGGCAGGTCATTTAATTCTTAAAAATGGGGCAGTGAGATATATATTGCTTTTAAAGAACCGAAAAAGAAGATGAACAAATGTTTATGTAGGTAAACTGGGCCCTGATCACACCCTCTAGCTTATTGTCACTTATTGTCACGGGCTTAAAGTTTCAGCCCCACTTTAGCTGCTCCTGTGCGACATCAAGACGTTGCTTCCACTCTCGCAAGTACTTGGTCAGCCTACACACCTTAGCCAACACACTCCCCTCGTGCGCTTACTAGTGTTGTAATTGCCCTCACCATCTTCTCACTTGGCTTGCACACTCACACACACTAAGACACTTAAATTGGCAAGGAAAGAACACTTCTATTACTTCAAAAAATGCTTTGTACAAGACTAGCACTGAAGCTCTCTACAAGGCTCTCAAGACTCACTCTAGGACTTGTTGACAACAAAATGAAGTCATACTCCTATTTATAGGCATCCCCATCCCTAAGTATCTAATCGATTCTCTAGAATCTTTTCCCACCTTCTTCACACTTCCATACTTATCCACAAGTCTCTACAATATTCTAGAACTCTCTATATTACTCCACACAATTCTGGAGAACTCTAGAATATATTACACATATCTCAAATCTTCCACACAACTCTAGACAACTCCGGAAGGACTCTAGAAACTCCACTCGCCATACAGCGTCCTCCTCAACGTCTGCGTATCACCTGCGTGGCACAGCCTCCATAGGCGGGGCGTGACATTATGCTCTCAAGGCATGTCCATATTCTTCTCCATCTCCAATATTTTTTATATTTTTTATCATATGCCATTTCGCCTACTGTATTAAATGTTTATAAATAATTTTTAATGCCATTTTGCCTATTGTATTAAATGTTTATAAATCATTTTTAATAATTTCATCACATATTATTTTCATCGTACTCTATTGATTGGGGGTGTGTCTACGTCTCTGTCTCCAATGCAAGTGTCCAAACCTGTCTACTTTCTTTAGTTTTACAGTTCTCACATTGAAATTGAGAAAGCAACAACGATTTATTGAGTAGCAAAATATCATAATCCACTGGCAACCCAATCACTTTAATTTATCAGCTTGACAAATGATTTATTAGTAGCCCATGACATGATTCATTTGAGAATAAGCAATGCTTCAAGACATGACAGCCAAACTGTGCAAAAAAAATTAGTAAACTACAAAAGTTGAATTTGGATGACTGCCTCAAACTCCAGATACAACATAAACTCTACTTTCCATTTTCTCATTTTTTGGTTCAATTATAGGACATTTGCATGTCATTATATACAAATATAGAGGACAACTTTTCACCTCAGGAAACAATATGAACATGCAAATGCCGGGAAAAAAAACCGATTACTTTGATGAGCACACCTTGCAGCTCTTCCTACAAAATCCAGCAGCATCTTCAGTGCCTACCATATAGATAGGATTCCCTTCACACTCACCAGCAGCAGCCCACTGAGGGCAGTTCACATTCCGATCGACGCAGTCACCGTTTTCCGGATTCTCCTCTTTTTCCTCAAATGACCTCACATGAATCCACTTGGTTGCAGACCACTTCTCCCCCTCAATGACGGGGCAGCTCCCGTGCAAGCTCAATGGGTCGGGGGTTGCATTAGTATGAAGACTAAAGAACAGCAAAGCATCGCCCTCATTGGGTTTCACTGCAATTACAAAATTACACATTGGATGAAATATGCAGTGAATTCTGACCTGCATATTGCTTGGATTATACTACAACAAAACCAATCACTTTGCTGCCATTTCCGACATTTTTCCTGATTTGCCCCACTCCATTTACTATCATAAATGACAAAAGGGACATTTCACACCAATCACTCTACGCTTGTTATATGCCATTATTCTAGTGACAATAATGGTGAGCAACAAAGATGACAGCTAATATGCATTATATAAGCACACGAAATAATTTCCAAAAAGGGTCAACAAAAGTGATCTTTTGATTCATCTAGAACCTATTCCCATGCCACCAACTTTTATGATTTTTTTAGAGAAATGCAGCAATGATCAAAATTCCGTTGTAAAGGAGAATTACAATAATTTTAAACCGTTAACATATCATGTATCTTCTTCATATTGCTAAGTCATTCTCTAGTTGAAAGCATAATCAACATAAATCACTAGAAAAAAGACACGAACCCTCCACACTTTTATCGTGTCTTTTAGTTTTTGTTTACTATAATCCCACTCCTAACACCTTTTAATGATTCAACACTTTAGAGAAGCTACCGAAAAAGTTCTAGCAATCCTTCACATAATTAATATTCCAGATAATCAATTAATAAATAAAAACAATTATACCTGCATAGCCCATTTTAGCACAATCAGACCAGTTGTCATCCTTTGGTTGAGACTCTTTCGCCTGCTAATAACGAAAATTACGTAATTAGGTCCTAGGGAGAAGTAAAACCCATGGTAGAACCATTGCATAACAAAATTATCATATACCTCTGAATCGGGAAACACTGTTTCTCCACCCCTTTTAACATCAGACAAATACATAAGTACGGTGGCAATCCTGTGACCACCCAGTTCTAGATTGACCTTGTCATGAAAATAATCAAAATGTGGCTCGTACTTTTGACCAAGCTCATACCGCAGTACCTGCATGGCCTCCCCGTTTTCTGCTTACAACATCAGATTAAGGTAATGAATGGAAAATATTTTTGTGCCCACTGATATATCAAACCAAGAATCAGCACACCAATTTACCTACGGGAAGGAAAGTCCAAGCAGCAATCCTGGCCTCAATGCCAGCAACTATATCATCCTTCAAAGATGAAACAAAGGACATCAAGCAAGTTGTCAAATTTAGATAATTTATAGCTCAGTTATAAACGAAAGTTCTCAAAATTGTTTCAAAACGAAGGTGATCCTTTTGAAATGAAAATGTCACTACATGCAATAAAAGAGCTACAGATTGGTTATGTTTCAATTAATTGCCCTTTTGGAAAGGTAAAGAGAAATAAGAAACCAATCAAAAATAATTTATATTATTTTCATACCAGAACATAAAACAAACTAATTAAAACAATGAATCCTTATATAAAGATCTATCAATGGGGCTATGTTCCAATTAGTATTTTGCACAATTACCGCTTCGAAATGAAATTACATCCTAATTTTTCAAGAAACAATGGAACATTTCATTTGGCCAATTTCTCATTACATTCTTTTTTTGAGAAAGATTGGAACATTTCATTTAGCTAAATTCTCCATTCATTGACTTTGAATCTGCATTTAGAATCTACACAATTCTATGCACTACAATTAGAAAGATTCAATTGCAAATATGTAACAATCGGCATAACCGATAATTTCATATATTACCCTTACGAGACTACTACATTATGATAAAGGTTGTGCAATCAAAATTTAAAAAATCCTGATTTGATTATAATAACATCCTCCTAAATCAATAATAATTCAAGATAGATAGGAAGTTTCATTAACCTGAGCCTTGCTGAGAAACATGCCCGTGCTTGTCCGAACCTCACTCATTACGCTCTTGCCTGATTCATTGTCAGCCACCATTGACAGCTCTAGCTTATCCTTGGCCTATTCATTCAAATTCAATCAAGCCAAAAGAACAGAAACATTATAGCGACAAGAAATCAGCTACAGTGGTCTAATGACCTTCTGTTTGGCAGATGAGAAAACAGAAAGGAAATGGGATACAATCTTGAGGTTCACAATTTTATGACACTTGGTACAGCTAGTTGTACTGTTGTTACTTAGCACAATTAAATAGAATCATTTGCTTTCTCGGGTTCAGAATTTCAGATAATGCAAAAAACTAACATCAAATCATTAGTTTATTATCTTTCCCTACATTTTCTCGGCAACCAAACAAGCTCTGTTAAATCCATAAAGAGGAATTTCCCCCCAAAAAAAAAAAATTCTAACCACATTAATGAGATGATCACACTCCTCAACAACAGTTGTCTAATGACCTGTTTGGCGGCTGAGAAAACAGAGAAAAGGAAACCCAAAACAATCTTGAGGTTCACAATTTTATGATACTTAGTGCGTTGTACTGTTATAGCCACAATTAAATAAGAATCATTTGCTTTCTCTGGTTCAGATAATGCAAAAATAACTAATACCAAAATCATTACTTTATTCTCTTTCCCTACATTTTCTCAGCAAGCAAACAGAGCATTGCTCTATTAAATCCATAAATAGGAATTTAAAAAAAAAAAAAAAAAAAAAAATACTAACCAGATTAATGAGATGATCACACTCCTCATGTGTTAAAAATCCTCTATAGATGAAAGCCCTGTATAATTTCAAACACAACAAAACAAAATACGATCAACATTAAAAAAAAAAAATCCAACAAAGATTACAGAATATTCCAGTGTATATGTGCTGTTTGTGTAAGTCTAGAGAGAGAAGAAGAAGAAGTCTAGAGAGAGAATAGGACCTGGGATGCCAAGATATCTGGGTGACCCGAGTAGGATCAAACGGGGCAGACGAAGCACCAGTAGTCAATCTAAGCACCGAACTTTGCCTGAGAAAAAAACAACAAAACCAACAATGATTTGTGTTCTTAAATGGGTATTTTATAAAATTTCATAGAGAGAGAAAGAGATACGTTTCAGTAGCAGAATGAGAGAAATTTGGGAACAAGGAGAGGAAACAGAGAGAAAGTGGGAGAAAAACTCTGCAATCCATGAGGAAAAAAAAAAATGGTGGGTTTTTCAGCAAATTGAGGATTTTGCCGAGTATGATGGTGCAACAAAAAGGTTGGATTTTATTTGTTTGTTTGGCGAGCGAGAAAATTCAAAGCAAATGGCGTGGTCTTTTGGATTCTTCTTTGGGTCTTCTCTTCAACTTTCTTCATTTTCTCATTCAAAGCTTTTATTTTTGCTCATTAAAGGGGCGCCCACTGTAATTTGGTTTGTAGTTGGCATCTTCAGATGTCAAACTTTACTTTCTGAGAGATCACACGTTTGCCAAATGTCAAGGCCATTGGTTTTGTGGAAAACGACTCAGTTGAGTCAAGTCGGTGCAGTTTTTTTAATTTTAATTTTTATAATATTATTATAAGAGTTTTTAAACTAGTGTGTGAATGTGGTTTATGAACAATTAAACTTAATTTTCAATGACAAAAAACTATTAAATTGAATTACCATGGAATTTCCAATTTTTCCTTTTTGTATATAACACTTAACTCTTTTCACAAAATAAATAATGTATTTATATGATATGTTACATAAAGAATTGATTTTGACAATATGTTTAAAATGAAATTCCGTTTGACAGTATCGAATCTAATTTTGAAATCACATAAAAAAAAATCACATAAAATTTAATTTAAAATTAAAATGGTTACTTATATATATATATATATATATCTGGAAAGCAATGGCAATAGGCAGGTGACTCTTATTTAGTGTTGATTTTTAAGAGGATAAGGATGTAATTAATAAGAGAGATAACGAATTACACTTGAAATGGAACAACCATGCATGTTCGTTCAATTAATATGATACAAAGAATAAATAAGCAACATTTGTAGTAAAGTTTGAACTTTGTAAGAAATAATAAATAACTTACCAAACTGGTATGGAATTAATAAAGGCAATCCTCGATTCAAATTAACTTTTTAATTAAAAAACCATATTAAATGTGCAAAAGGAAACAAATAATAATAATAAGAGATAAACATTATGCTATTTAAATTGTAAATGAGGTAATTCAGGTTCAAAGAATGAGAATGATTAGTGTTTTTCCCTGTTAATCTTTTACCTAATTGCCTTTTCTTCACAGAGGATTTGTGTTTAATAGAAATATGTTAGTTATTGATTTTTTCTTTTATTTCAAAATTCTTAAAATTTGATTTTAAAGATCTAAACAAACAAACTAGACCTTTTATTTATTTATTTTGCATATATACACACACTAAAAAAAAAAAAAAAAGAAAGAAAGAAAAGAAAGAGGAACATTGTGATTTCTTTTTGTCCTTAGCGTTGGAACGAAACTTCACTATTCACAAAATATTTTAATAATATACAAAATAAAATATTATTTACCAAAAATGCTTCTATAAGACCCACAACAAAAATACAGTAACAAAAAGGCCAGCCAAACAGTCCCTTATTTTGTGTCGTTATTTATTTTGTTTCTGATTTTGGAGAGATCTTAAAATGGGAGTGGGACGTTGATAGATGAAGTGAGGCCCACCACTTCTATTTATCTCGTGATCCAAATTTGATGTACAATATTTTGGGCCCTTCGAACACGTTATGAATATTTTGGGCTGTGAGTCTCTATAAGTACGCTATAAAATAAGGCCTAGTTTAGGTTGGGTCCCACCCAAGCCTTCTGGACAGTAGATGTCCAGTCTGTTCAGGTGGTGGTGTTGTGTTGTCCTAAACTCACAGTTCCTCCTTCACCCAAATCTCATCTTCACATAAAGTTGAAACGTTTCATTTTCCAAAAAAACAATGATTCTATTGGTTATTTGGATATTTTAAAAATGGTCCACAGTGCTGAGTTTTTTTTTTTTTCGTTTTTCTTTTTGCAAAGTGCTGAGAAAATTCCAAAAAAGAAAGGCCTGCTTGGATTGTATTTTTAAAAACAGTTCTTGAAACAATTTTCACGTATAAAATACTTTCTATACTATGTATAAGACTTAGAAGAGTTTATAATTCACATAAGAAAAATAAAGAGAGGGCATCTAGAATTATCTAGACAAATTAATTTAATTCAAACCCCATTACAATTATTGGTAAGAATGTCAAGGAAAAAAAAAAATGCTACAATTATTTATGCCAAGAATATTAAAAAAAGGCAACTGTACTTGTTCGGCTCGCGAAAAAGCACTGGATCCGCTTTTCGGAATATGTGGAATGTGGATAGGATAGAATAGTGTGGGTGTGCGGGCGTGCCAGGAATTGCAGTAGTTCCAAAGTAGAAATCTGAACAGTAATCCAGTTGAAAATTTGTAAGGATCAGACGATTGTACGAAAGTTTGGAATGACCACATTCGAATGGTCTTTTTTGGCTTTGAACAAGGACTTTAAACTATTCTATAGCTAATGGAAAAGAAGACGATATTGAAGGTGCAAGGCTGAAAATTGAAGTGCAGGACTGGAAATTTAGAGACGTGGAAATGCAATGCTCAGCTAGAAGAAACGGAAAGAGTGCTAGATTTAACTCAAGCGTTATGAGAATTCATCGCATGGAATGAATGTTATATAAGATGGCAAAGTGCTGGACTCAACTTAAAATGATGTGTACTAGCAAAGTGCTAGGTTTAGACATAGTGCAAACTCATTGTTGAAATGAGATATACATGAAAACAAAGATGCTTGTGTTAATATGTTGATAAAGCAAGGCTTTGAGTAGAATTGAATAGGATTTGCAAACTAGCCTTACGTGCTCTATTTATAGAACACTTATATGTATGCAACCATTCGGCATGGCACATATCCACATGGCTTGGCTTGAAGCTGCCAAGTGCCCCATGCTCTCGGCAATTCCTTTTATTTCTACCATCATCTTCTTCTTCCTTTCTCTTATCGATTTATTTTGATGCTTAACTTGAACCATGTCTTTTTAGTCTTCCATGAACTTGTATCGTTGGTAGTTTTAAAGTGAATTTTCCATTTGTCTCTTTATCAGTTAACAGGTGTCCCACGTCTTCATGTTCTTCTTCTTTCGCCATAGATTTCTTTCTTTTTCAGATACGATTTTATTAGCCCTGTTAACCACATTCTTCGACAACTACTTTAGTTAGTGGTAGTAGTTGCATGAGGTACCACCACTTACAACTGATCTATTTGAACCCAGTATCCCACGATCCTTGTAATCTTTTCTTTCCTTGATTTTCATAACCTCATTTTGTTGGACTTTCCAATTTAATCTTGGCTTTCATGGCATCGTGGCCCCAGGACTTTAGTAATTTTCCCATCGTGGGGTTGCATCTGACACAATATATATATAAATATATTTGTATCCATAAATTACCCACGTTCCTTCTCTTTTCTGTAACCACGTTCCCTTGATTTCCGACAACTTCCCTTTTTCCAGCTTTCCTTATGAGTTTGGAGTTCATGGCGCCATGGACACCCTAATTTCATTGGTTTCTTCATCGTTGATATAATCTGGCGCATATATATATATATAAACAAACTAGCCTCCACGTCTTGCTTAATTTTAGCAACCGAATTTGACTTAGCTTGGACAATTTACCAAAGTCTCCTAAAAAGAATGAGAGAATCCAGTCCCCACGTCTGGTTTAGTCAACTTCTGACTTGGTAATTAAATGAAAAATATCCATTTAATTGGTATCCTCTAAAAATAGGATTTGTCATGAATCTTCAATATAATAAACTCTTAAAAGAATTGATCTACCATAGCAAGTTCAGTAGAACTCGTCATGTGTTAAGAAACCATTGGTTGGATGGCCTTGAATTGAATATTTATATGAGGTTGAATTCATGGTAGTGACTCTATGCCACCTTTCTACCCTTTTAGGACATTGTATTTAAAGTTGGTAAGTCCTAACATGACTCACCACTTTCTTTTAATTAACAATTCCACGTGGTGGAATTTATCTTGATCAATCATTCTTTGCTTCTAATGAAAGGAAATTCTATCAGAGTTGCGATCCGGCGTGACAAGTTCCATTGGAACTCGCCACGTACCTCTTCTCTTTTGGTAGATCATATCAATAATTTCATGTTACACCTTCCTCTTTTTGATAATTAGAATACTAATCCAATGTGGCAAGCTTGTTAAAACTCACCACTTGTCGTCTTTTCATTGGGCAAAAAATAATGGAGTAAACAGTACTCAATGGTAGCATCGATCTGATTTTTAGTTTTATTTTCATTTTTCAAATCAAATATTTTTTATCTTAAATAATTTTAAGGAGCAGAAAAACATGTACTTCAATGGATTCCATAAAAAATGATGCTAAAGGTTTAGAAATGAAAATAGAAAAATCGACAAACCAAACAATTTGCCCAAAACCAAAAACAACCAAATACTCATACCCGTCAATCTTAACTACCAGTTCATCAATTTAATGCCTTCGATGCTTTTAGGATTTTAAACATTTCTTGTGCAAGGCTTGTTAACCAAATTAGAAATTTTAAGAAAATTCCTAGATTTCAATCTGGTGTCAACTAGATTAACCATGGGGAGATGAAAAGATTTGATCCAATTGCGTACCTCCCTCGTAAAAGCAAAATAAATAAATTGGGGGTTTGAAAGAAAACCCAAATCAGCCCATTAAATCCACTTTTCCACAACCAAATCTAGTCAACGAAAGCAAATCAATCAAGCCTCAACCCAAATAAGAAGTATTAGACAAATAAATCCACTCCCAAATCCAACCAACCAACCAAATCCACCATAAATTTCACAAATCGAATCCATCCAACCAAGAAAACCCACATAATGTTAGAGAGAGATCGATGGATTACTTGAAAGAGTGTCTTTAAACCAATCGATCATGAGCCTTTTTTCGGTCGATCGCTAGCCCAACACCAGTGAGAAATCCAGAGAAGATGAGATCTAATCGACAAAGAAATCTGGAGAGAAAGCTGAGTTATGTTTTGTTAGAAAGAGTGTGAGGAATGACCGGGAGAAGCTTCTTGATGAGGTTGGATTACTTCGATGATCCAAATAGAGAGCACTTCTGCGCATAGAAAAAGAAGATAAAGAAGGAGAAGTGTACGACTTAGATGGAAAAATCAATAAGGTTAGGACGATGTTTTAAACGATGCCCCTCAACGTGATTTTTTTAAGTATGAGTTGTTCTCCGTGATTCCTAAAAAGTGAGAATCGCAACTCAAGAATTGTGAGAACACATTTTTATTGTTCTCTAAAATTTGTAACTATCAGTTTTTAGTTTTGGCCAGTTTCTCAATTGTAATACAGTTTTCTGTTTTTTGTCAACAGAAAACTGTTTTCTTAGATCCAACCTAAGCAGGGCCAAAATCTCTTACTCGGCTGTTCCATTAACATTGGATTGAGACAGTAAAAATTAGTATTATGTTCTAAAATAGATATTCATCTTGAATATTATGATTCAAATTTGTTATTTATGAGTCATAGTTTTCAAGATAAATATTTATTTTGAGAATGGTTAAAATTGTACATTGTTCAGCACATTTAAAAGTGTTTCTTCCTTTGTTTTATATTTCCATGCAATTTTAACACATAAAATAAATGTGTTGAATACCTGTTGGCCTAGTTAGTGAAGCGTTTAATTGGTGTTCCTTCCTCCTTTTTTGCCTGGATAAAGAAAAAAAAAATCATATTACTTCACATTTACTTTGATTGGGATTGGATTTAGGATATAAGATGTAACGAGTGGGCGCTTATATATTTACTTAAAATTTTAAATTATTGGATAGTGCTGCATATTCATTCATTTATACCCAAAGACTTTACCAGATGCTGTTACAGAAGACATCCTCGTCTTCCTTCGTTTTATAACTGTGGGTCCAATACTTCATATCTCCATGCAAAAAGTGTGTTTCGAGTATTATTTGACTGTGCCAATCCTCAAACATTAATATCCATTGAAATGAATATTACACCACTAATGTTTCGTATCGGGCCTTGGCCAAACTTGTTCTCACTAACTGGGCTCTATCACTTTCATATCCTTATTTTCTGGTGACCGGCCCAATACTTACATGTTAATATTGGCCCAATGTATTGCCTACCTACTAATATACCTATATTGGCCCATTATTGTAATTTCCTACAAATTTCAATTAATACAACTTTGTTTGATCTTCCGGAGAAAAAAGAAAAAGAAAAAAGGATCACTCAGTAAATCTTTGCGGTGATATAAAATGTTTTTGAATATGAACCAAAATCTTTTTAGATTTTATTTATTTGTTTATTTTTTAAAATTTCTCTCGGTGATTTTGTACTTGTGCAATGGTGAATATTTCTTGATCGAACTCCATGACAATCGAATTTACCCACTAGTTACAATTGAGAAACTGGCCAAAATTTAGTAGTATCATCGTATGTAACTTGGATACATTTATAAGAGCTGTAATCTACTTTATGCAAATACTATATCATGGGCTAAGGCCACATATCTTTACATAACTATATGTATATATAGAAGCGAAACAGTGCATAATCGAAGAGAAAGCTGAAACAAAAGGCCGGTCACAATATTTAGCCAATACCAATTCTTGCCTGTTTGTCAGATTTTATTTGTACTTCAATCCTTTGAACAAGGTTCGATATTTGGTACAGCAAACAAAAAGTCTAGCAACCCATGACTTTGTTGGCTTCAAGTCTAGGCTTTTCCTCCACCAGACGCGAAAAGCAGACCTTGGTCACTGACATGGACGGAACCTTGCTCCGAGGAAGAAGCTCCTTTCCTTACTTTGCACTTGTTGCTTTCGAGGTTGGTGGTGTTCTAAGGCTTCTCTTCTTGCTCTTGGCCTCTCCACTAGCTGGACTTCTCTACTACTTCATTTTGGAGTCTGCAGGGATTCGAGTTCTCATCTTTGCAACGTTTGCCGGCATGAAGGTGGCAGATATCGAGTCAGTGGCGCGTGCAGTGCCGCCTAAGTTCTACTCCAGTGACTTGCATCCCGAGGCGTGGCGTGTGTTCTCTTCGTGTGGGAGGAGGTGTGTGCTCACCGCGAATCCGAGGGTTATGGCGGAGGCATTCTTGAAGGACTATTTAGGTGCAGACATGGTTTTAGGTACTGAGATTGGTGTGTATAAAGGTAGCGCTACTGGTCTGGTGTGCGCTCCTGGAATAGTTGTTGGGAAGAACAAGGCTATGGCTCTCAATAAGGCTTTTAGTGATACATGTATGCCAGAGATTGGACTTGGTGATAGGAAAACTGATGCCCCCTTCATGAAACTATGCAAGGTTTGTTACAAAAAAAACACTTTTCAAAACTGTTTTTATATAACCATAGATAGTATTTGGAAATGAGTTTTTGAAAACATCAATCAAATTAGGGTATGTGTGGTTTAGTTGTGTAAGAACTAAGAAAAATCTCAAAATTGTATAAAAGCCCTATACAAAATTGTCAATCCAATAAGGATCTGTTTGAATTGATTCATTTCTCTAGAACTAAAAATTATATAAAAACTTATTTAGTTGATAATTTTTGAAAATTATTTTCTTGTTTCAAAGAATTGTTTCAAGACTCTCCATCTGCGATCAGTTACTGGTCTTGCTGAGGATATAGTTCCTGCTTTGTTCTCGGATTTCAAGTTTCTTGAATGCTTGAAGCTTGAGAAATGCATTGGGTTGCGATGTCTAGAGATAAACGCGGGTGGTTCTCTCAAAAGCTTGACAGTGGTGGACTGTCCTGACTTGGCTGAGATTACTCTTTCTGCTTCTAATCTCAAATCCTTCTCGTATCAAGGAGTTCTTCCTCGGATTCAGCTGAAGAATGGCGTGAACCTTGTTGATGTCATGCTCGATATGAGAGCCGTTATAGGCCACAATGAGTTCGATTGTGAGGAGCTTTTATCATTACTAGCAGCTTTAAAGGATGTTCAGATTCTCACTCTCAGTGGTTGGCTTCTTGAGGTATTATTTTCTTTTCTTCGCTTCTTGAGAACTAAACCAGTATCCAAATTTCTTGATTTTTTTTTTTTGTCTTTTCTTCGCTTCGACCTGATAAGACAATTCTTTGAAACAAGAAAATAATTTTCAAAAATTATCAACTAAATAAGTTTTTATATAATTTTTAGTTCTAGAGAAATGAATCAATTCAAACAGATCCTTATTGGATTGACAATTTTGTATAGGGCTTTTATACAATTTTGAGATTTTTAGTTCTTAGTTCTTACACAACTAAACCACACATACCCTAATTTGATTGATGTTTTCAAAAACTCATTTCCAAATACTATCTATGGTTATATAAAAACAGTTTTGAAAAGTGTTTTTTGTAACAAACCTTGCATAGTTTCATGAAGGGGGCATCAGTTTTCCTATCACCAAGTCCAATCTCTGGCATACATGTATCACTAAAAGCCTTATTGAGAGCCATAGCCTTGTTCTTCCCAACAACTATTCCAGGAGCGCACACCAGACCAGTAGCTCTACCTTTATACACACCAATCTCAGTACCTAAAACCATGTCTGCACCTAAATAGTCCTTCAAGAATGCCTCCACCATAACCCTCGGATTCGCGATGAGCACACAACTCCTCCCACACGACGAGAACACGCACCACGCCTCGGGATGCAAGTCACTGGAGTAGAACTTAGGCAGCACAGCACGCGCCACTGACTCGATATCTGCCACCTTCATGCCGGCAAACGTTGCAAAGATGAGAACTCGAATCCCTGCAGACTCCGAAATGAAGTAGTAGAGAAGTCCAGCTAGTGGAGAGGCCAAGAGCAAGAAGAGAAGCCTTAGAACACCACCAACCTCGAAAGCAACAAGTGCAAAGTAATGAAAGGAGCTTCTTCCTCGGAGCAAGGTTCCGTCCATGTCAGTGACCAAGGTCTGCTTTTCGCGTCTGGTGGAGGAACATTGATTCATTGTTGGGAAATTATAGAGAGAATGTTCATGAAAATCTTTGTCTAGCAGAATGTTGTTGGTTTTGACATCACGATGTATAATATCTGATGCATGGAGGTAAGCCAGCGCTTCTGCTGTCTCTACGGCAATCCTCAACCGAACAGGCCAGGAAAGCAAACTGGAATTTGATTGTTTTCCATGAAGATGATCAGCCACTGTTCCATTAGATATATATTCATAAACAATGAGGAGTTCTTGGCTTCGTTTCGACGTGCATCCATGCAGCTTCACGAGATTGTGGTGCCTTAAAACAAGTCAGGATCTCAACTTCATTCATAAACTGCTCCACACACTTCAAATTGTTCTCGAATATGTGCTTCACTGCAACTTCACGGCCATCATGGAGCTTGCCTGATTTCAGAGTTCATACAAACAGTTCAGAAAAGAGACAATTATCAAATGCCTAGTTACATAGCAAACTAACAAAGATATACAAAGGTTTATCATCGTACCATAGTAAACAGTGCCGAAGCCACCTTCTCCAAGTTCTCTTGAGTGGTCAAAATTGTCTGTAGCTTCTTCGGGTTCAGCAAAGCTGAAGACATGAGCTCCAAAGTAGGTGCTCCCCTTTTCAAGGTCAGACGACTTCAAGGACAGGGAGGGATAAGATGGAATGCTTTGAGAAAAATTGGTTGAAGGAACAGTAGTAGGGGCTTTGCTTGAAGAAGGAATCAAAGAGTCTTTGCTTTTAGTTTGGTCAGATTGGGCAGCTAGTCTTCTTTTCTTTCGTTATCTCCAAGAGAAGATACACCATCCTACGCCAATACCAAAAATGGCAGCACCTGCTAGGGCAAAACCCGAAAGTGAAAGAAAAGAGTAAAATTCTTCTTTTCTGAGACACTAACAATGTTGGAAATAGAAACTGTTTCTAACAGAATGACAAAATACCTATTGTACATTGGCACATTTGTCGAAGTACCAGAACCCCCTGCAAGAACCATGTGATGCAGAAACTTTAGTTGAAACATTTATGACTGAATCAAAATATAGAACAGGGTGATACACAGGTAAATGACATTCTGCTTATCACAATATGTGGGACACCGTTTCATATTGCATTGCCCAAATTGGTTCATATTCAACAACTCCACATTTTGTCATCTATTAGTCAGTGTCCAAACTGCCTGTCACTAAAAGGGGAGTAAGTGACAATATCTCAAAAGCAATTGGAGAAGAAAACTTTAACCTAAATTACTAGTTGTAGAATAACAACTTAAGATTGCTTCTTAATCTAATTAGGTATGCCGGAGAGGTCATTATTGAACTTATTGTATGACTATTGCAGTTAACTCCAACAAGGTAAAGGAGTAACCATGGTAAGTTCAAAGTTGTTTCATATCGCCAAAATGAGATATAAAAAAAATGTAAAAATTTTGTCATTTAACAATAGATTCCTGTCTTCCTTTACAATCATCACCATTGTTCATTGTTGTGCACAATGTTTGATTATTACCCCATCTTGGAGCTGAAGGCAAAATGAAGCTGGTGATGTCTTCCCAAGATGGAAAGAGAGTACTTTATGAGATCAAGAAAACAAAGAGAAGAGCGATGGACCATAAAACCAGATTAGAACTGATATACACTGTAAGCAAATTGGGGACCACCCATCTCATACAGACACGGAAAATTAATCGCTAGAAATTCATTGACCAAAACCCGTAACAACCCATCTCATACACACAAGAAAAAGAAATCACTAGAACTTCATTGACCAAAACCCCTCTTTTTCATTTTAATTTTGTTTACATCTTTTTCTTATTTTATTTACTACATATACCAGATGAAATGCTTTGGAATCAAACAGTATAATGACTACCAAGGACCAGTGGGAAGACAGGATGTCACATTTAACTAGCAGTTAGTCATGGGGTAAAACTCCTTTTAAAGTCCTATGCTCCACAGAGAGGATCAACAACAGAAGAAATTGACAAGGATTAGGAAATAACTAGGATTTCATGCTTCTATACTGAGTACAGTCAAGACTGAAAGAAAGAACAATCATTCAGCAAGCCCTCTGGCCTCCCAAAAAAAAGGTGCTTGATACATCAAATAATTATAAAATCAGAAGTTTCAACATGTGCTCTAATTGCTATACAATGAAGCCAACATTGATGAAGGTAGTTAGGTACAATCAAAGTCTTGTACCACATCTACAACTCCCTTAATCCCATTTTCGTTCTCCCTTTTGGGATTCTAGTAACTTCTTAAGAGGACATACTGACATGCATTTACTAATGCATTGTCCATTTTGAAATTCCAAAACTAACCGTTATAGTTTAAAATTTCATACTATCATCAATTCAATAAATCTTTCAAAACTTGAAATTTTTTTGGAAAATATGCAAACTTTTTTTTTTGACTTTTCAAACATGAATTTTGGGATGGTTAAAAATGAAAAAACAAAAAAAAAAAACAAGTATTTCGCGATGGGGGCTGGATAAGTTCTGTCCTAGTTGCATTGTAAAACACCATACAACATGAAGATAGATCTATGTAAGGAACAAACACAATAAATTAATAAGAACCTCTTTGTCCAATAAATTGAAAATGAAAAAACAGAATAGTAGTATCCTATTGTTCAATAATATGCTCTCTAAGTGCATAACCCTAGCCAATTCCGATTTTGGGTGGAACAGATCCACTAATTCTTTGATTCCAGTTGGTAACACGGATCTTGAACTAAGATATAGGCCCTAGAAGCTACAAAAGGGTATCCTAAGCATTTGCAATAACTGGGTTCATTGAGATTCCTGATATAGTAGATGCTATCAAACATACAATCATACACAATTCGATGATGGAATTGCTTGATCGATCTTAAAGAAGATCTTGTATAATTTTGCACGTGAGCCCAGTCATTAACAACTTGATTGTTTTTTTCTACTCTAATGACAATGAATCATCACAAAAGCCTAACTAAGAACTATATATATTTGCAGTTTCGCCAAAGGAAGAAAAAAAAAAAAAAAGTTGAAGTACCTGTTGCAGGACTTGGTACGGAACAAACTCTATCGCCGCCGCAAATACAAACAGGTTCGCCCAAATTCGAACTAAATCCACATTGCCCACCAAACCCAATACATTCCAAACACTGTTTATCATAGGGATCGTTATAATTGACATTAAAACCCTCCATCAAAGCCTCCCCAAGTGTCGTCCGGTTGCCGGCGAGCCTCTTGCTGGCGTCTCCGACCACCGGAACCGTGACACTAACATTGCACGCAAAAAATTTCAGTACGGGATCATTCGGAACCGGTCCATTCAAGTAAAACGCATCACTACCATTGACACCACTCACATTGCAGCTAAAAAGATTGAGAGGCCTAACGATCAGAATCGAAGAACAGCCGTAGATCAAAGTGAGATCCACATTCCCCGCAGTCGTATCGAAAACCGAAGAATTGAGAGTGGAATTGATGAATTTCTGGGGACAAAGTGTTGTTCCATAGATCCGACCTGGCTAGGGTTAGGGCTTTCTCACTCTGGTTGATTTGGAGAACACGATAGGTCACCGAATTGGTGGTGAACTCGGTGGTACTGTCGCGGCAGCTGAGGTGGAAATCCGGTGGCCCACAGTGGACCTGGCGGTCGCCGCCGGTGAAGGGGTAGGTGATGTTTTGGAGGGAACCGCAAGTGAAGGTGTTGGTGCAATTTGGGTAAGTGACATCGTCGGCGGCGGAGGAGGTGGTGAGGTGGGCGGAGAAGAGGAGGGGGACGGCGGTGACAAATGAAGTGGAGAGAGAGAGTGTTGAGGAGAGAGTAGTGGACGGTGGAGAGTCATGGAGAGGTGGATTATTTACTACCAAATGAAGTGGTTGGTATTCTAAAAGTTGAATACTAATAATTTGGAGGGTGGCTTTAGTGACATATGCCATTTTAAACATATTTTAACTTTTATACAATTGTTTGAATTTTCTAGGAAAAAAAATGTTAGTAATTATCTTTCAACGAAATCAATAGATAAATCATGTTCTGAATTAGAAATTAAGAATTTTTAGTCGAAAACGTTGTCGTCTTGATGAGTGAGTCATTTGCACAAACCCACACTTTTTGAATTTTGTTTGCACGAATTTGAAGTTAAAATAACAAATTCATATGATTTCAAAGAAAACCTATTTTCATGCCTATAGCTATATACAATGCATAAAAAAATTATTTTACATTGAAAAAATAATAATATGTACTATGATTAAAAAAAACAATATGTATATAGATGAGCTATCATTTCAAATATTATAATTTGGAGCTGCCATTCTTGACATCTTATTTGGAACTCAAAAGTTGGACACATTCAATTTTTTGTTCCTTTGACTCATTTAAAATGCTATTTAGACATGGCATATAATTTTTGTTCTCTTTCTCTCTCTGCTAAATCAACAGTTGAGAACTTGAGATAGTTTATGGTATGATTATAAAAAGTACGTAATACATATGGTACATAGCTCCTAGGTTAGCTGTCATTAGAAATAATACTATAATTTGGAGCTGTTTTTTTGACACCATTACTAGAATCTCAAAAGTTTGACACTTTCTATGTGCCCAAAGTTTTTTCTCTAATTATTAGATAATTGCTTATGTATAATACTATGAGGATGATGATGATTATTATTCTTCTTCTTCTTATTTATTTATTTATATCATATTGGAGAAAACCTTGAAATCTTCTTTATAAAAACTACAAAAATAAAAATTTAAAAACCTAAATAAATTTAGGACTTATGTTTATTAACTAAATGTCACCCTATCTCCTAAAATTAATTGGTGTTAGAAAGGGTTTCAATCTTGTACTTAAACCTTATGTTTGTGACGGTCAACTACGTTAGCCGCATAACTTATTAAGAGTAAACCTTGACTGCATTGCCAATACTATTATGAACTTATGCAATATAATTTTATAACTAGTTTAAACCATGGTTCGTCGTATTGATCGATACACGATCGTTTTTCAAGGGTCTCATATCGGCTGATTCGGTCAATTTACACTGATTTTGCATTAGAGATGGTTTGACCGTTTACAATGGATATTCAATCTCTACGAGGAGCAGGTATTTGGTGCACTCAGTGTACTGTATATCGGACACATCGTATATATTTTCTTTCACGAGCTTATAATGATGGGAGTGCATTCTCGAGACACATCCGAATCAACCTCGTGCTTAGTTTTCCATACATATTTTAAGGTGGCTTAAAATTTTTGGTATTTTTTCTTTATGGCATTGAGTTTTTATTTTTATTTTTTATTAAGTTAGATACGTGTACACATCCATGATGATACTTTGAAGGAAGAGAAATACCAGTATGGATTGATCATGATAATTCTCATAAGTTATTAATCGGAAAAAATTACTAAAATCTCCTAAACCCTAATTAGTTGAATCCTGAATGAGTTAGCCAACTAATTTAAAGAGTTCCAAGACATTTAAAATGTAAAGTAAACGCTAGTTGTGATATCACTTTATTAATAAATCACATAGTTATTTTATTTTATTTTATTTTTTTTTGGGTTTAATAAAATAACATACTTTACTATGTAGCATTAACTATAATTATTAAATAAATATCAAATGCATAAACAGAACCCCAAACGTTCAAAAACAGAGCCAGCTGTAAGATCCAGAATTTAATTAATTGAAAATAAATAAAAAAAGATGGTGAGATGTCATGTATCCAGCAACCTTTGAAGGGGCTGTTGGGCATTGACTAAAGAAATATACCAGATAATTTTTTCAGTAATTGCAAAACAGGACGGCATGTAATTGGTATTAGATTAGTGGATACTCTAAGAATTTCGACAGAATTGCACTTCGAGTTTGTGTTTAATAGAAATATGTTTAGTTATTGGTTTTTTCTTTTATTTCAAAATCCTTAAAATTTGATTTTAAAGATCTAAACAAACCACCTTTTATTTATTTATTTTGCCACACACACTTAAAAAAAGAAAAGAAAAAAAAAAGGAACATTGTGGTTTATTTTTGTCCTTAGAGCTGGAACGAAACTTTTTGCATCTTTATTTTAATTCGAAATAAAAACAATATTTTTGTTGTAAAATGTTTTAAATAATAGTAACCAAGTTGTAAGATTTTTAAAATATGAAAATAGTTTAGTTTGAAAAAATAATGACTAGTTTAAAAAGGTTATTTAAAAAATTTTAATTTTATTTATTTTAAATATAGTCAAAAGTGTGAAAGCACGTAAAAATGCTAGATGATTTGACTTTGAATCACTATTTACAAAGTATTTTAGTAATATACACAATAAAACATTATTTACCAAAAATGCTTCTATGATAAGTTAATAAATGCTACTTTAAAAAGGTTATTTAAAAAATTTTAATTTTTTTTATTTTAAATATAGTCAAAAGTGTGAAAACACGTAAAAATGCTAGATGATTTGACTTTGAATCACTATTTACAAAGTATTTTAGTAATATACACAATAAAACATTATTTACCAAAAATGCTTCTATGATAAGTTAATAACTGACCCACAACAAAAATACATAAACAAAAAGCCAACCAAACAGTCCCTTCTTTTGTATCCTTATTTATTTTGTTTCTGATTTTGGAGAGATCTTAAAATGGGAGTGGATTGCGTACCGGGATGGGGACGTTGATAGATGAAGTGAGGCCCCACCTCTTCTATATGTCTCGTGATCCAGTAAGATCCAAAATTTATGTACAAAATTTTGGGTCCTTCGAACATGTTATGAATATTTGGGCTGTGAGTCTCTATAAGTACGCTATAAAATAAGGCCTAGTTTAGGTTGGGTCCCGCCCAAGCCTTCTGGACAGTAGATTTCCGGTCTGTTCAGGTGATGGTGTTGTGTTGTCCTAAACTCAGAGGTCCATTCAAAATGTTAAAAACACGGGCCGAATGAACAAGGCTTATTTATAGCCTTACAATAGTATAAATAAGCCTCAACAAAAAGTGTGTTTCCATGCAAAAAATGTGTGTCTAGTATAATTTGACTGGGCCAATCCTCAACATCCATTGAAATGAAAATTACACCATTAAAGTTGCCTATCGGGCCTTGGCCAAACTTGTTCTCACTAACTGGGCTCAATCATTTCTATCTTCTTATTTTCTGGTTACCGGCCTAATTCTTACATGGTAATATTGGCCCAATGTATTTCCTTCCTACTAATAAACCTATATTGGCCCATTATTGTAATTACATACAAATTTCAATTAATACAACTTTGTTTGATCTTCCAGAGAAAAAAGAAGAAAAAAGGATCACTTGGTAAATGTTTGCAGAGATATAAATTGTTTTTGAATATGAACCAAATATTTTTTTAGAATAATGAGGCTATTATTTATTTTTAATAAAAAAAAATTCTCTCTGTGATTTTGTACTAGTGCAATGGTGAATATTTCTTGATCGAACTCCTTATTTTTGTCACCTTTACACTAATAGGCACGCATGACAATCGAATTTACCCACTAATTACAATTGATAAACTGGCCAAAATTTAGTAGTATCATTGTATGTAACTTCGATACATTTATTAAAGCTGTAATCTACATTTTTGCAAAATATTATATCATGGTCTCCACATATCTTCACATAACTATATATATAGAAGCGAAACAGTGCATAATCTAAGAGAAAGCTGAAACAAAAGGTCACAATATTTAGCCAATACCAATTCTTGCCGGTCTGATTGAGTCAGAGTCTATTTGTACTTTAATCCTTTGAACAGGGTTCTTTGATCTGGTACAACGAACAAAAAGTCTAGCAGCCCATGACTTTGTTGGCTTCAAGTCTAGGCTTTTCCGTCACTGTACCATCATTTCCGGCCAATGCCCGGTACTTATCCTTCCTAGTGAAGCCGGTGCACTCGTAGGACAATGTCGCGGCGATCATCCTCTGTATGTAATTTGCAACATCATGGCTTGATTTTCCTCCACTACATGTCAACTCGTTTGGCAATTTATTCAAGAATGTGACTTCATATGCAGGACTAGGGTTCATGAAGAAGTAAAATGGATCCATCCCTTTCCATCCCCTAGCTGTTGTCCCATGAAACATGCTCATCTTATTGATCATAGCCACTGGCACTAGTTGATCAGTTAGCTCGGCAAACAAGGCCGAAAATCGAAGCAAAAATGGTTCTCTGCATGTTGTCCCTTCAGGGCATATGACTAGGTCGCCTTCTTCTAAGAGCTTCTTGATCATGTTTGCGTCCCTGATGCGGTCGCGACTGAGCCGCACTGTTTTGATTGGTGATATGATCTCTGAGAGTCTTGAAAGGGAGTATGTGACGGCGGGGATTGGCCGGCCAAGGGCGGTGGAGAGGAAGATGGGGTCGAGGAGGGTCCGGTGAGAGCAAACGAATAGGTTTCCGGTTTGGCCGGTGGATTTCTTTGCCGGGGGAGGTGGGGTGCCTTTGATGGTGACTCGGACTCCGAGTGCCAAGAAGGCGTAGTAGACGAGTGGCATTGGGAGGAGTGCACCGGCGGCTATGCGCAGGCAGGCTAAGAGGAAGCCTACTGGGATCCAGAGGATGGTGAGAAGGGCCATGAGAGGACTTGGTTTCGCCACAAGCCGGCCGTCATGGAAGACTATGGGCTTTGGCAACCTGTCTTGGCTCACTGTCTCCACTTCTGGCTTGGCTGGAACCATGTAACCCTCCTGTGTCACAAAACATTGAATCTCGTTTAGAATATCAATTGTCAAGGCTATATATATATATATACATATATACATATATATATTATGGTTCGTAATCGCGGTATCGGTTACAGTAACGAGGGCGGTGTAATGGATTCGGGCGAACATTGAAGTAAATAGGTCGAATCGACGGATTCATAAGAGTGTTTAACGGTATCGATCACTTGAAAAAGGATTACAAACCGAGACGAATCATAATATATATATACTTGCAAGAAACTCACATATTTGAACTCATACCACTAAGCTATAACTTTGGTTAACTATGAATGCTTGAATGCTCATCTTTTTGGTAAGGAAAATGATTTTGAAAGTGAATAGGCTAGCGTTATAGTCGGACTAAAGTGAAAAGTCTAACATTATAATCTGATCACACCAAACCATTTCAGATGCATTACAGTGGCCCTTGATGGTATTAGATAATTCGGTCAAGGAATTGGGCATACCTATTTGGTTAGAATAGTATTGCCCTCCTGTTAATAATTTCGATTATTAAATAGTAAAATTCATAATAAAGCCCGCTTGGTTAGGTTTTTTAAAAATGATTATCAAAATCTCAGAAATCATAAATATATTTTTAGATAACAAGACAATTCTTTGAAACAAGAAAATAATTTTAAAAAATTATCAACTAAACAAGTTTTTATATAATTTTTAGTTCTAGAGAAATGAATCAATTCAAACACATCCTTATTGGATTGACAATTTTGTATAGGGTTTTTATACAATTTGAGATTTTTAGTTCTTAGTTCTTACACAACTAAACCACATATACCCTAATTTGATTGATGTTTTCAAAATTCATTTCCAAATACTATCTATGGTTATATAAAAACAGTTTTGAAAAGTGTTTTTGGTTACAAACCTTGCATAGTTTCATGAAGGGGGCATCAGTTTTCCTATCACCAAGTCCAATCTCTGGCATACATGCATCACTAAAAGCCTTATTGAGAGCCTGAGCCTTGTTCTTCCCAACAACTATTCCAGGAGCGCACACCAGACCAGTAGCTCTACCTTTATACACCCCAATCTCAGTACCTAAAACCATGTCTGCACCTAAATAGTCCTTCAAGAACGCCTCCACCATAACCCTCGGATTCGCGGTGAGCACACACCTCCTCCCACACGACGAGAACACGCGCCACGCCTCGGGATGCAAGTCACTGGAGTAGAACTTAGGCAGCACAGCACGCGCCACTGACTCGATATCTGCCACCGTCATGCCGGCAAACGTTGCAAAGATGAGAACTCGAATCCCTGCAGACTCCGAAATGAAGTAGTAGAGAAGTCCAGCTAGTGGAGAGGCCAAGAGCAAGAAGAGAAGCCTTAACACACCACCAACTTCGAAAGCAACAAGTGCAAAGTAAGGAAATGAGCTTCTTCCTCGGAGCAAGGTTCCGTCCATGTCAGTGACCACGGTCTGCTTTTCGCGTCCGGTGGAGGAACATTGATCGATTGTTGGGAAATTATAGAGAGAATGTTCATGAGGTTTGGCCATTGCTATAGAGAGAAATGGTTATAGGGAGAGGGTCGTAGTGTTAATTAACACTAATGGTTATAATTTAATTGGAAATTGTTGTAAGGTTGTTTCTTATATATATATAGAAATAGGTCATTGTTAATGTGAAAATGGGGACAAATGTTTTGGTTTAGTTTATGATATCAAGGGATGCGCCGAGATTTCCAAAATTGTGGTGGGGAATATCTTCCTTTGGAATCACCGAGGAGGTTAGTGTGTTGTTTTATTTCATGAGCTCAAATAATTAAAGCTTAAACAAGCATGTTAATTATAATCTCTTGCAGTGACGGATCAGAGAATTTTATGAGGGGGTAATTTTTAATAACAATAATGTATGGTAAACTATTATTAGAAATTGAGTGGGGCATATTTAAAATTTTCACCAAAAAATGCAGATATTTTTAAGATTTTCACAAAATCTATAAGTAATTTTAGAAAAAAAAAAAATTCAGTAGGGGCAGCCCCTTCATGGCTGAATCCATGTCTGATCTCTTACATTACATTTGATAGATTTAAAAGTGTTTGAAAAATGATTGAGAGTCGGATAGTCTGGATTAGTTCATCCAAATTATTAATATAAGTGAGAATAATATCATCTTACGCGTAATTCACATAAATGCAGTCATAGACGTCTGACCTTCACTAAAAACTATTGCACCATTTGGGATTTGATTAATGGACTATATAGTTTCTTTAGCAATTAAGTACTCCATTACTGATTACATGTATATAGACAGGGAGGTGATAAATGCACTACTTTTGCATAAATGCACTCCAATTTTAACGCATAATGATATTATTGATCACGAGTCAAATTATAAGAATCAAGTATAAAGAGCATTCATATCATTTAATTCAAGAGCATTATTGGTCTTTGCCCAACATACTCCATTACTTATGATCCATTAGGCTAGTTATTTTTTCTTAAAAATGAAAAAAAGAAAAGAAAAAGAATATTAAAATTACTTGAGGTCTAAGAATGGGATTGTGGGATTCACAGCCCGTTGTGAGAATGCGAACAGTCTGATTGAAGATGTCTATAATCTCTATCTTTATTTTCCTTACCCTAATTTTGTCTAAACCTTATTTTGGAGTTATTTGATTCAACTTGAGAATCACATGCACAGTCTGATTGTCTAATGTGGTAGGAGACATATTTTTGCAATATATGAATACAAAATGAAATGTACTTTGTGTAACTCGCCGAAGTAGAACTTTTTTCCCAACTTTATTTGAACAATGCTCAATCATGCCCCATTTATTTTTTCATACTTTTGCAATCTCTCTTTCCTTTGATAGGGGAGATTGATAGTTACTAGTGTTGATAAATCCAATGGAAGAATGATGGAACAGGTACACACGGCGCCAAAAACAAGTGAAGGAACACACTAATAGAAATTAATTTGGAAGGGTCCTATTTTGGGCGATATATACAATGATATGCCTAGGAATCAGATTCTTTTAATGATCCAAATAAACCCTTCCAAGACAATGGTTTATAAAGTTTGCGTGTTAGCCACTTGAACGAGTTTTACATCGATTGATGAAGAAGGAAATTTAAAATTTATATAAGATAAGGATCACTTAATCCAACCCAATAACTGATATCAGAATTATGTCGACTTTTGATATTCAAGCGGTGTATGGTACTCAAAGCTTCTTCTGAATGAGTTTCACATCGATTGGTGAAGAAGACGACTACTTCACCTAATGAGTTAGATCAACTTATATAGACTCTAGATCTCTTAACTGATCGACTTTCGATGACTATAGGGCAGAGTTACAAGAACTTTAAACCATGTGTTATGACAAACGCAACGAACCCTAGTTGAATTAAGAATCATGACAGAAAAGTAAACACGCCACACAAAAAACACAAAATTTATACGTGGTTCGGTAACAGTCTAAGTCCACGATTGGGATTCGACGGAAGTTTTTTCTATGTGTAAAATCAGATATTATAAGTTTTCAGCCTCTCACTCTATTTCTATACGAATTTCAGAGTCTCTCTCTTCCTCCACTCCAAACTCTAAGCACCCTTATATATCGGGTTACAAGAGAATAATTAGGATCCACAACCCATGAGCAAAAAACGAATCAAAATTTTTCCAACGTAACCGGATACCAAATTCAGACCACAATATCACACCACGTATGAAATTCCAAGATTCTTCTGAGTTGTGATTGTTCCTAAGATGAGTTTCAATCATTTTATAATTGGGTAATTACTTATGAATGTTACAAATCAACAACCAACGCAATAAGCATGCAATTTACATGGCTTCTCATGAAACAATACCATTTCTTAAAGTGACTGCCAATTCTGAATTAATAGTTATATATATAATTTCTTCAAGTAAATACCTAACTATATAGACATTCAATTGTGATGAGTTTCAAGCACATCAGCTACAGATGAGCAATAATTATCAGTGGTCTAATATTTGATCAAATCATGCACACACACAGTTATACAATTGGCTTTTTATTGGTGAAATTCCTCATGTAAAGCAATTAAACATCATGTTATGCTAACAACAGTCAAATTTCACAAGTGCCCACCTAACATAATATATTGGTTTTCTTTCAAGAGTGGACAATGATAATTAGGAAGCCCCAAAGACTGCCAATCTCACAACTTGAAGTACAATCAAAGAAGATGACCATATTTTCTACCATAAATACATTTTCTTGACCTACCTTACACCAAATTGCAACAAGAGAATGAAGTTACCTAGGCCATATACTGTCTTTTCTCTCTTCCTTATATGGCATTTTACATCATCCGGTAACTCTTTAAACCTGGTCTTCATTCTCTCTTTTTTAACTCATGCAACTTCATGAATACGAGTCCATTTCGTTTTGGATAATGAATCTTAGATTTAATAATCTGATTAAAGAATCTAGCCGAGAGTTTCTTAATTATTCACTAGATGCGTTGAATAAGGTCAAAACTTTGATCTTATTTAAGAAACTCTCAGTTAGACTCCTCGGTTAAACTATTAGGTCAATACAACATTGTCTGATGATACAAATTTTATCATCACATGTCCATTTACTATGATTTTAGTCTGATTGAAATTGCTCTGTTGGTAATGCAGTACTAGCACAAGCATGCACATTTTATGTGAGCAACAAATGCCCCTTTCCAATATGGCCTGCAACTGCCCCGTGCAAAGGCCATCCTGTGATTGCCAATGGCGGCTTCTACCTTCCCTGCAGCCAAATCCGAAAAATCCAAGTTCCAGCCGACTGGAATGGTAGGATTTGGGCTAGAACAGGCTGCAACTTCGCGTCGAATTGGAAGCCGGCCTGTGAAACAGGCGATTGTAATGGAAAACTCGAGTGTAATGGCACCATAGGCCTCCCTCCAGCCACACTAGTGCAAATCTCACTGCAGCCAGACAAGAGCAAGCCGAATTGCTACGACGTAAGCTTGGTTGATGGCTACAATCTGCCTGTTTCCGTCTCGACAAAGCCTGTGGCATCAAAATGTCACATTGGAGGGTGTACTAAGGACTTGAAGAGCATGTGCCCACAAGAGCTTCAGGTCTTGAATGACAAAGGGGACGTCGTGGCGTGCAAAAGCGCTTGCTTGGCTTTCAATCTCGACACATTCTGCTGCAGGAATGAATATGGGAGTCCAGACAAGTGCAAGCCGAGCATCTACTCGAAGTTGTTCAAGAATGCTTGTCCCTCTTATTATAGTTATGCCTTCGACACACCACCACCATTGGTGAACTGTGCATCAGATGAATATGTGATCACTTTCTGTCCCTCAAAATGGGGCAATACTGCATATACATCTATATAGAGTTGAAGCAAAATGATAATCATCATGCCTCTCCTCTGGTTATCTATTTTGGGCATCAATGAGAATTATGTACCATCTTTTCCTCAATAATAAAATCATATGGTTCTTGAAATTGATTCTTTCAAAGCTTGCCGCTTTATATATATATATATATATACTATACTATACTTCGGTTAGGTTAATGAGAATTCAAATCTACTGAGTCACTCATGTTATAATCTTGTACATGGTGCGCAACTTGCATTAATACTTTCATATAGTCTAAATTTTTTTTTTTTTTTTTTTAAATTACTAATGCTTAACTTTCAATTTGTCATTGAACATCAAATGAAATGTGAATAGCCTGTACTCCGCTCTATCAAACTGAGTAAGAGCATAGTGTGAGGTTAACAATATTACATTAATACCAAGTATCCAGCTTATTTTCCATGTTGTAACATCTGAATAATTATTCTGAGAATCAGAGTTGTGCTTGCATCCAAAATAAGACAGCAATTACAAAAGTGGTATTGGATTTTATAACTAGCATCATCTAAAGCAGGCTGCAGTGGATCATCAATTGGGTTAGTAGGCTACTTAACTGTCTGGTTGACCCAAAATGTTGGGTCTTTCTATTTTTCAGGCCCAAATAATTGTTGGGTCTGAGCTCAAGATATGTGATCAGTGGATCATCAATTGGGTTAGTAGGCTACTTAACTTTCTGGTTGCCCCAAGTAGAGTTGGGTCTGAGCTTATGATATGTGGACCATGTGGTTAGGTAGTAGTAAGTGTAAGATCACGCATCTAAGACCAAAACGAATGTTCCTTGGTACTACAACAATTAAAGATGTTGAAAAATCAATCCTGGTTGGCGGAACATATATACACACTCGCGTAAAAAAAAAAAAAAAAAAAAAAAAAAAAAAAAAATGTTTCTCCAAATTACGTAATACAACTCTTTTAAAAATATAATAAAAACTCTTTATAAAAACAAATAATAAAAACTCTTTAAAAAATAAATACATAAATATGTAATAGAGTTTTATAAGAACTCTCTTCTAAAAATCCTTTTTTTAAATAAATATGTAAATATGGTGATAGAGTTTTATAGAAACTGAAATAAATAAAAATTCTTTTAAAAAATTAAGTATGTAAATATGTGATAGAGTTTTATAGAAACTTTCTTCTAAAAACTCTTTTTTAAAAAAACAAAAAATAAAAATTTGATAAAAATTTAAAATTATATAGAAACTCTTTGTATTTTAATAATAGTATAGATATAAATATATTTTGGGTGTGGACACTTTTGTCTTTTCTTGTGTATCTTAATTTGATTGGGAATTGGAAAGCTGAAATCGACTTCAAGGAGAAAGTAGATTTTTTTATTTTATTTATTTTATTATTTTATTATGTTGAGACCTCTCATCCGTCACTAAATACGTGTAATTTTTTCATTTTATGAATATCAGATAATATTAAAAAAAATGCATAAATTATTTTTAAAAATTTAAATTATGATCTTCAAAATGTGAGACGAGTGTTTTTATTATTAAGTTGTTCCTTTGAAGTCAAGTAAAGTAAACATATTTGCTAAAACAAGAATTGATAATATTTTATTTTTGGAGTAGGTATTCTCATAGGTGGTCCTGTGATTTCGTTCATATTTTATTTACCATTGCAACTTTTTTTTTTAATTAAATTCATTTATTTCTTTAATATTGTTATATAGGATACTTAATATATATACCGAGAAATATATATACTAATAAAATAAGAGTATTAAGTAATATCTTCGACATGCACATATTAGAATAACAATATTTTACTTCTTGTTGCCATTACAGGCCATTGCTGTTTACTGGTCAAATAGAACTGATCCAAATTGTTGTCATAGGTTCAGTTTAGACAGTTAAATCAATTCGATTCAATTCTAATATATATATATATATATATATATATATATATATATATATATATTGTTTTAAAAAAAATTGTTCTGGTTTGCATTTATCGTATAAATCGAATCAAACCAAGTCATGTATACCATTACAAACAATATCTAATATTTCGAGGTACTGATGATGTATCTTGCTGCATTTTGTGAGAATAGTAAAAGCTCAGTTTCATACATTCTCATATTCCGATGACACACTTTACAGCATGGGGAGAAAAAAGTTACAAATGCAGAATTTCTTTAATTTTTTTGATATATTTTTGCACAAATAGATTGACGATAATTGCTATAAAGAATCACACACAAATGAGGTAGGAATTTATGGTTAGTGTTCATGAGTCATTTAAAAAAAAAGTAATTAAATATTAAATTCCTTTGGACGAGAGCTAGTGTAATTTTAAGAATGAATGTTTGCACTGTTACAAATTTATATGTAGTTGGAAAAAAAAAAAAAATCATGCATGCGCAAAACGTCTTTCTTTTTCTCCGTGAGAAAAGAAGGCAGAATAGATAATACCGTTTATCTCAGAGAGTTTTAAGCTGTTAGGTGAAGTTAATATCTAATCCATATATACTCATGTCATTTTTTATTCGGATTCGATGTGGGACAGGGCCTTCTTGTAATATTCTCTTCTAACCGAACTCACAATGCCCTCGTTGCAGTCGGCCACCTTGCCTACCCAAAGTGACTCACCTAAAAATCTCTGAACCGAATACTTAGCGTGACATCAGATCAAAAACTGAACCCACAACTATAATATTGAATTTTTGTGATATATGTTGTTCAGTTTCGTAAAGGGCAAATGATGGGGGAATGTCTGATCTCAGTTTTTTTTTTTGCACATGTCAGATCTCAATTGCACATGTCAGGTTTTAGGAATGCTCTTGGACAAGACAACATTGGTTTAGATTATTGGGAAAACTACTATACCATGTGTGACAAGTATGGTACAAGTATACTGGGCTTGTCAAATGGGGCCTTTGAACAGGGTGACCCAGTCAAAAGCCCAAATTCAGCCTATCTTCATCCTGGATTCCTTAGATCAATTATTTGTGTGCCTCTGTTTTTATACCATGCATTTGGCACAAATCAAAAACCTCTTGGACTTGACCCATTTAGGTGAAGCCAACTTGGACAGTCATCTATCTGAGCCTACACGGCAAGCCATTCACTTACCTTCTCGACTTTTTAGGCCAATATTTAACGCGTCTAACAAATTTATTTATTTATTTATAATTTATTTTTATTTTTTTTCTGGGAAGAAAAAAGCGTCTAACGTATGCTTGGCAAGACAAATTAAATGTATGGGACCTGTTTTATGTAAGGTCTTGACCCTAGAAGTGAACACAACTTGGTCAATGCCTAATGTGGTCCAAACTTAATCACAGGGCCTCAGGTTGGGACATGAAAGTATATAAGAGTACCCAAAGTGCTCGTATTTGTTCGAGGGACTCTCGACCATGAGTGAGCTGGATAACTCAGTTAGTAGAGACGTTTTCTTGAGTTGTATGAGAGTGGGAGTTCAGGTTCGACTCATCTCATCCTCCCTCCCCTTCCTTGTCAAGGTAAAAAAAAAAAAGAAAAAAAAAAGGCAATCATTTACATGATATGTGACAAGGATAAAAATAATAGGCAGTTTGAATGTGAATAATGAACAATTCAAATGAGAAATGAGATAAGGGTAAGGATAAATCCCCAAAATCTCTAAATCATAAAAAATCTCTCTAACGGTTACCATATGTAACGATAGTTACCATCTCCTATAAGAAGGTAAATAATCGACTTGAAAGGTATGAGATAATTGATATATGAAATCTTGCTATTATTTTAGAGCTCCGTTAACTAACTTAAACGTCGGAGAGCTCTTGGCAAATACCACACCGGTGTTGTCGTCGGAGAGCTCTTGGCAAATACCACACCGGTGTTGTCGAGGTTCATGACTTCTCTTTACAGGAAACGATGTCATTCTGGATCGTGCAGAATTTCACTTCGACAATATGCATATGTGTACTTGTTTATAAGTTTTTGGATGTCAAATTTAATAGTTCATGGCCTAATGAAATTACAATTGCATTGAATATCAAATCTCACTGTCAACTGTTTGAGCTCGAACTTGAGCCGAGTCCAACGTGGGCACAAACATGGAGTAACTAATGTCCAACTGTTTGAGCCGAGTCCAACTTGGGCACAAACATGGAGTAACAGGAGGTTGAGTAGACGTGGGTGTGCATTTTAATGGACGAGGAGATGGAGTTTGGAGACTAATGACCATCCAATGAATTGATATAGAATAAAAATCTACGTCAATTCATTCGTCAACTTAAAAGACTCCATGGGTGTAAAGACAACGAACCCATTGTTACGTTTCCACATTGAAGACTAATGACCATCCTTTGTGTGGTGAACCACACATGATTGTGATAGTTCATATATGTGAATTTTCTACACGAGGATGATTATAGTCGTCCCATGTAATATATATAACATCATGTGGTACATCGGCAGATGATTGTGATCGCCAACATACGTGAATTCTCTACACGCGTGAATGATTATAGTCGTCCGATAGAGTACCGGATATTGGCATTGAAAGTTGAAACCAAGCCCATGAAAGCATTCCCACTGCACCACACAATTTTCTCAAAGGTATGGTTCCCATCCATTTCCTTTGCAGAAAAAATTAGCTTGCGAGTTGTACAACATTAGAATTAATGCCACTGGAAACTCGGTAGAAACAGAGTCCACATTTGGATGACAACACTTTTGGAGCTGATAGGCAGTGTGTGCGCGCGAATTTACTAACTAGGATGGCCTACGCTATCATGGTTAGCAAGAAAAAGAACAAAAACAAACAACACTTAACCTTTAAAAAAAAAAAACGAACAAAAATATCATTCCTTTAATTTTCTTCTCTATATAAGTAGCATTACTCTGCAACACAATTCCACACCAAAACACACCCAACAAATTAGTTGTTCAGGTTTGTGAAAGAAGAGAGAAATGATGATGAATGGAGAGATGTGGACTCAACTAGGGTCCATGGTAGCTGGGGTAATGTTCATTTGGGCTATGTTTCAGCAATACGTCCCACGTGAATTCCGATCCTATTTCCAAAAATACACCCAAAAACTGGTCACTTTTTTGTACCCTTATATCCAAATCACTTTCCATGAGTATTCCGGTGATGGCTTTCGGCGTAGCAAAGTCTACACTTCCATTCAAACTTATCTAAGCGCAACTTCCTCTTCTGGTGCCAAAAGACTCAAAGCAGATGTCATGAAAGATAGTGAATCTCTAGTTCTCAGTATGGATGACAATGAAGAAGTCACTGATGAATTCAAAGGCATCAAACTCTGGTGGAGATCGAACAAAATCAGGCCATCAACACAATCAATCTCCTTTTATCCTCGCGAGGATGAAAAGAGGTATTACAAGCTCACCTTCCACAAGAGGTATCGCGATACCATCACCGACACTTACTTGACTCATGTCATGGCTAAGGGGAAGGCAATTGCAGTGCAGAAGCGACAACGCAAGCTCTACACCAACAACAAGAGTGAGAGGTGGGGTGGATACAACAGGACTACGTGGACTCATGTCCATTTCGAGCACCCTGCAACATTTGACACACTAGCACTTGAGCCCAACAAGAAGAAACAGATCATGAATGATCTCATTACATTTACTAAGGCAAAAGACTACTACAAGAAAATTGGGAAGGCATGGAAAAGAGGGTATCTTTTGTATGGTCCTCCTGGAACAGGTAAATCGACTATGATTGCAGCCATGGCTAACCTTTTGGAGTATGATATTTACGATCTTGAGTTGACCTCGGTGAAGGACAACACGGAGCTGAGAAAGCTATTGATCAATACAACGGGGAAGTCAATCATAGTGATTGAGGACATTGATTGTTCACTTGATCTTACCGGCCAAAGGAAGAAGAAGGAGAAAGAGGATGACGAGGACAAAGAAAAAGATCCAATAAAGGAAAAGGCGAAAGGTGTTGAAGATGAGAAGCAGAAGGATAGCAAAGTAACTTTGTCTGGGCTATTGAATTTCATTGATGGGCTTTGGTCAGCTTGTGGTGGTGAGAGAATCATTGTATTTACTACTAATTTCGTCGAAAAACTTGATCCCGCTCTCATTAGGAGAGGACGCGTGGACATGCACATTGAATTGTCCTATTGTTGCTTTGAAGCATTCAAACTGCTTGCAAAGAACTACTTGGATCTCGAATCACACCATTTGTTTGCAACTATTGGAAATTTGTTGGAGGAGAACAATATTACTCCGGCTGACATTGCTGAGAATTTGATGCCCAAGTCTTCTGAGGATGATGCTGAAACTTGCCTGAAGAATTTGATTGAGGCTTTGGAGAAGGCGAAGGAGGAAGCAAGGTTGAAAGCTGAGGAAGAAGAGAGACTAAAGGATGAGAAGGAACAGAAAGAGAAAGAAGAGAAAGAGAAAGAGAAAGAGTCTACTGAAGAAGTGAAAGAGAAGAAAGCTTCAGTTGAAGAAGTGAAAGAAAATGGGGTGAAGACTACTTGAGCCAATTTGGATTAGGAATTATTGATTTCAGTGAGGATTGAACAACTTGATTATTGGGACCCCATTGATGTTAATTAGTCTATGTTATGTTGTTAATGTCTAAATTGTCCTGGTAATTATGTTTTATGGCTTTAGGGTAATTATGTTATGTTGTTAATGTCTAAATTGTCCTGGTAATAAGAACTCTAGTGTGACGACGATTAAGAAAGAGAGCTTGAGCTTGACAACTTGGATAGGTCGTTGTATTCAATTCTCAAATGACGAAATGTGTGATCCTATTATATTTTACCTTATGTCGCAAAAATCAATAACAGCTTGTTGGAGTGATTAAGAATGTTTCCAAAGACGATATCTATAAAATGTTTGTGCGACTCTAACGGGTAGTGTCCAACAAAGACTGCGCGTTAGTAATAAATAAGATAAACTCTCTCTGCTCTTAAAGTCTCTATCAAATTGATGTCATATCAATCGGTTTTTGTTATTTCTGTCTCACATGTTTGTTCTTCAGGGGCCCTAATGCGTACTATGGTGTATTGTGAAATGTACGTATGAAATGGTGAAGGATCGAAGGATCATGGCTAGGAATCAATGCGACTTTCTTATTAATTTCACAATCACTCAAAATTACGTTTTGCTAGCTTTTGACTGCTCAAAAGCAAGTATATTTTGCTGCTTGCACCTAATCAGATAGCCAAGAAAACAACTGAATCATCAAAGTAGAGAATTAAGCCGAAATTAAGGACTTTGATGTCAAGTTCTTAACACTATGTTTATATCTTTATTGGCAATTATGTATATTCAATAATCTACTCTTGATAGGAAACTAATGACTCGTAGAAGATCACCTAACCTGTGTAAACCCTGCTCTGATATGCCGGAACCACACGACCATCTTTTCTTCCAGTATTCCTTCGTTCGTCTCATTTGGTCATTTATTCAAACACGTTGTGGGTTCTATATATTGCCTTCATCATGGTCTGAAATGGCATCGATTCATTGGTGTGCCAAATCAACCGATCACAGATTCTGTCATCAGACCGCCTCCGAGACCTCTGGACTGAACTTGGTGCAGCCTCCGAGAACTCCGGGCCGAATATGGTGCCAGGAACTTCCCTGTTCGTCTTTTGTGGCATCTGCCGAATGTCCCTGAATTGTACAATTTTGTTGCTGACTGAAGTTCGTGAATTTGAAGGGTCATGTTGTTATCTCTCTCTCTCTCTCTATCAAATTGAGTAAGAGAATAGTGTGAGGTGAACAATATTACATTAACACCAAGCATCCAGCTTATTTTAAATTTTGTGCCATCTAAATAATTATACTGGAGATCAGAGTTGTGCTTGCATCCAAAATAAGACAGCACTTACAAAAGTGGTATTGGATTTTATAAGCATTGGATCATCAATTGGGTTAGTAGGCTACTTAACTGTCTGGTTGACCCACAATGTTGGGCCTCTCTACTTTTCAGGCCCAGATAATAGTTGGGTCTGAACTGAAGATGTGTGATCAGTGGACCATCAATTGGTTTGTTAGGCTACTTAAAATTGGGTGTCTTAGTTGGGCCTTTCTAGTTTCAGGCCTTTCTAGTACGCATCTAAGACCAACAAAAGTTCCTTGGTACCACCAACTATTAAACATGTTGAAAAATCAATCATGGTTGGCGGAACTTACACATAAAAGAATCTTCTCTATAAGTCACACAATCACACAATTTTTTTTAACAGGTGTCGCTCTCACGTTCTGAGCACATTCTGACTCAAATTTTCACTATTTATGACTTAATTATGCCACTCTCACGCTCATGCTCCCGCTCTCAAATTCGCTCTCACTCTTGCTCTCACTTTATGTAACTTAGTCTTTTCCTTTTGATATCGGTCTTGAAGAAAAAAAAAAAAAAAATCCTCCAAATTACATAATACAACTCTTTTAAAAATATAATAAAAACTCTTTATAAAAACAAATAATAAAAACTTCTTTACAATGTATTTTAATTATTTACTCTTTTTGTTTTCTCCCAATAAATAACTTCAAATTACATGAGGCAACTCTTTTATAAAAATAATAATAAATTTTTATTTAAAAAAAGTAAAAATCTAAATAAAAAAATTCATTTTAAAGAATAAATATGTAAATATGTAATAGACTTTTATAAGAACTCTCTTCTAAAAATTCTTTTTAAAAAAATAAATATGTAAATATGGTGAGAGTTTTATAGAAGCTCATAGAAATAAAAATTATTTTTAAAAAATACATATGTAAATATGGTAATAGAGTTTTATAGAAACTCATAGCAGTACTAGACTCCAACTTCTTAAAAGGAGGTCAAAAATTTGAATCTCAGTAGAGACATGCGTGTGTGAATAACTAAGAAATTTTTTTTTTATATAAAAACTCTTTTTAAAAATAAATAAATATATGATAGAAATTTAAAATTTAAAATTAAATAAAATCTCTTTGTATTTTAATAATAATATAGATATAAATATATTTTGGATCGATAATGGTGATAGCCACCCTTTTAGAACACTCCATAATTTACTGAACCGATACAATTCCCTACTTCACATTCATGGGCAATTAATGATGAAGTCATGACCCCAAGCTGAACATAATAATGCAACTTGTGTTCTCTAACCATAATAGCATCTGGCATTGGTTTGAGTTGTCAATGTCAGCTTAAGCTATTGTAAAATATTGAGATAAGCATGAGCTTAATCTGAACCCAACTCAACCATGTTCTCTAACCTTAGAGTTAGGCTCAGCTATGGTGAGAGTTTTGGGCCCCCAATGTGATACCCCCTGATTTCGGAACACGGGTTGATCAAGTCCGCGCACAAAATCAAGGGATATCAAAACAATTTAAGTATTTAACAAGCACAGAATACAAAGATGAATAATAAAGAATAAATAAACCGCTGAAGAAAACTAATAAATAAATATTACTTAATGATTCTCCAACAATTACAATTCGGAAATCCCATAACTCAAGGACCCCTTAAAACATTATCCAATAATCCAATACTATTTAAAAGTACACAAGATGAATAGACGAATGACAGTCTCCCAGCTGCGGATCCTCAACCTCGAGACTGGAACCTCTAATAACCTGAAAAATAAATCGTGGGTTAAACCCTACGAGCAAGTTCACTCCACCAGGCCTCTGAAAACCAATAAGCAGATCATCTCTGATCAAAACCAAACCTAATAAAGTTTTAACTTTAATAAAGCACGATATACATGTCTATATATAATTATATATACTATACTAATCACATCCATTAATAGGTTTATTAAATTTCCATACCTATTAAATAATTATTAAAATAATATTCATACCTAGACCAATCTACCATTTCATTTTATAAAAACTCCTTTGACCTTAATCCCATCCTAGTCAGTTGTCTAATCATTTAAACAACAAATTATAATAAAAGAAATACTCTATTTAATCCCAACCCGATAATGATTTTAATTGTTTAAATCACATATCCAAAATCCAAGTTTTGACAAATCATCCACGTCTTCCCCAATATTATTTTATTAATGTAAAATAATACACTAACCAGTAAGTACTAAACTATTCTCATTTAAGAATATCTAACCCTAATCCAATCCATACATACAACAACCATAGATGATATTTTAATCATCTAACACATAACAACGTAATTATGCTTTGGCAAATCAACCATGCCTCCATAAGTATATTTATTTATACATTGGCAATTCAACCATGCCTCCGTGTATGTATATTTATACATTGGCAATTCAACCATGCCTCCACAGGTATATTTATTCATATATTTAATTAGCAATTCATCCATGCTTTCCATATATGTATTCTATTCATACAAATATTTAGGTAATATATTTAATCATTTGACAATTCATCCATGCCCACACTTTAACCATGAATTAACTTTAAAATTAACAATACGCTAAATCATACATAGCCATCACATGCATATTATACGCATATCATTAATTTAACAACCAGCCTATTAAGATATGCCAAATAAGAATGATAATATTAATCATCTTAAATGATTTATATATATATATACCTACACATATGTTATTTAATGTATATATGTGTTTAACACCTTCTTTAATAATCCTTGATTATTTAAAATCAATATACATACATACATACATATATATATATATATTCATCCTTCCATACAACTCATAGACAAATTATATATACCCATATATAAATAATTATATATATATATATATATATATACACTTCCTTCCATAACAAATTATTAATTTATTATATTTACACAAATTAGTACAACTAAATATGTCAGAAATAGTTTCCTTTAAATACTCCATACCGGTTTAAATAGTTTTCCGACACCGTCTCACTAAAACGTAAATATCTCTTATTAGGATAAGAATCTGATAATGAAATTGGTACCATTGGAAAGAGGACGAAAAATCCTTGAATTTGAGCTCAAGAATGACCCAGTTTCGATTTAAAATGACTAAGTTATGACCGTTTTAATTTCTAGTGTCGAATTAGGCCAACATAGTTTCCCACGCGCGCCCACGTGCTTACTATGCACTTGCACGCGCTGGATTCAAGCCTCCTTGTGTGCTGGTATTGGCTAAGCTCTTTCAGCTACCGTGAGCTCACCACACTGAATCCATCACTTCCTTTATGCCGCATCCAATGGTCACAAATGAGTGCGCAAATGAACACGCTCACACTAGATTATTTTCTATTAACTATAATAGATCTAAGGTCCAGATCAGCGAGTGCACCATCTTCTCATGGTCTGCAATACACCAAATATCCCATAGTTGACCAGACCACTTCTATGGTCCAGATACACATGCGCACCAAAGTTTTATGCGCCGCGATGCACCATATCAATTCACATAAGTTTAATTAATCTAATGGCCCTAATTGGCGTATACACCCTATTATCCTACACCGCGCCGCACTGGATCAATTCTTTATTGTGCCGCCGCTCCACATGCGCCAGTTACCTAGTATATATATATATATATATATATATATATATATATATATATAATTATTTTCCTAACAAATAATAGGAAAATAAATCCTAATAAATTCCTAAAAATATCAGAAAAATTCTAGAAAATTACAGAACAATTCTAGAAAATAAAGAAACCATAATTAACTCTCTTGGGTCACAAATCCACCTATAGATTGATTTTAAAATATACATAACACCTATATATATCAATTAAAATCCAATAATCTAAAAATCAAATATAATAGTTTATATTTTTTAATTATTCCGATCTAACCATAATTTTTAAACAAATAAATTTAATTAAAGCCTTGATACTCAAGGTGAA